GTGTAGTCTGCTGTCTTTTGTACAAGAAGAAGATTGTTGAAGTTCCTTCAGGGAGGACAGGAACAGAGCACCTAGATGTGCTTAGACCATCCTCTGCCAATAAACCATATAAAAGAGGTGCAGTCTACACTTATTTTACAGGATGTTGTGTATGACATTAGCTACTGTTCCAATTTTGCCTTCACTCAGTCTGTGTTTCTCCCAAGACATTTCATAACTTTTGGACCAAAACAACTCTTGGACAGTTTCCTACTGTTGGATTTTAAGCTTGATTATACAATTGAATTCTGTCAGTGAGCTCCATGGGATGTCCCACTGTTATTAGATAGTAGAGGATAATTTGGAAAAAAAAAACAAAACCAAAACAGTCTTTGCTCCTCAGGTTAGTAGTTATAGTCTTTATTTTCTGCACTCAGATTTTTCTAGGAGGTCTCATTCAACATAGCAGTATGAAATTCTTGAAAAAAAAAAAAAAAAAAGTAATCACAAATGAAATCATCCAAGGCCTCACTAAACAGAACATGTTACACTGAAGTTTCCTTATGATCTTACTTGGTTTCTTTCTTTGACTAAAAGTAAGAAAGTCCTTCCAACATCTCTTAACTAGTCTCATGAATGAGTATGCCATTATTAAACACCTATACACTGCAGCAAATGACAATAGACAATATCAAGACCTGGAATATCAACTAGTGTTCTTTATTTTATTCTATCCAGCACTACCATATGGTAGGTGCAAATTTTATTTTTATTTAAAATATGTATATGATTACTAAAAATCTTCATTCTGGCTCTAAGACCACATAGATTATCTGCTAAAAGTTTAGAAAAGGGGAACACAAAATTTATTATAAATGCAGTTTTACACTGTTCTATAACCAGCAGGCAGACACTTCCTTCTTACCCACTGGTGGGACAGGATGTCTCTTTGTGAAGACAAAGATTAAACTGGGAGTTCAGTTACCATCCAACATTGTAATGCTTTCACTTTGAGAAAGCAAAATTATGGCCATTAAAGAAAAGTCTTTCTTTAGCAGTAACCTTTATAATGATTCATGTCTATTTCATAATAGCAGTATAGCTACACCTACTGAAAATACTGAAAAATCAAAATTCTTTATGACAAACGGACTGTTTGACAAAATAACTGCAGTGTAATATTTCAATAGGCATTATAAGATATATATTTACTACTTCAGTAAGCATTCCTCTGTTTTACAAAAAAGGAAATTACTCTCCTTGCAGTTTAATCATCAAACTAGTATTCTGATTAATCCAAACTGAAATACAGTTAACATATCTTGTTGCCTGTAAGCTCAGAGCCTGACTAGCTCCAGGTCCCTTAAGCAAAAGAAGGGTTCTACAGGAAAGTAAGTGTGAGTGCTGCCAATACAGCACCAATGAGGAAAATATTGGCTATGAACTTCAGCTCTACTCTCCACCAGGACACCTTCTTAAATACCGAAACATTGGTAAATCTCCACCTTTGTCTTCTGTGAAAGTGATACCCTGGTTGAAATGGCTATTGACTTGTCTCACACATCAAAGGTAATTTAATTTTGCAGGTCAGTCCAAAATGGATCTTTACCTAATCTGAGTCTGTTAAAATATATATAGATTTTCTGCTAAAGCTTTAAGGAAAAAAATAAAAATCAATTGAGATGCTGAAAGCATTTATTCAATTTTTCTACAACAAAGTACAGTATTACCTTGTTAAATGACTGAATCAACTTGCTACTCACCCCAAGAGAGGCAAGGCACCTTGTTCCTTTTTTTATTAGTTCTAACAAAGCTTATAACTGATTTCAGATGAGCTTCAGATGGGCTAATGGGTATTTAATACCCCAAGCAAGTTTTCTAGCACATTATTAAAAAAAAGAAAAACCCAAACAACAATGACCTATTCAGTGTAATACAAGAGGTTAAGATGATTCTGATCCTAGCCCATTTAAAGCTATTTTGTGGTTTATCCCTTTAAAGTGAAATGAAAAATTGAGAACTAAAGAAAACAATTACTTTCACAGGAGCTTTGAACACTGTCATAAGCATCCAGCAGATCACAGTATCAACAACTGCTTAATGGGAGGCTCCTCTGCTTACCCACTCTTTAGGGATCCTGTGATGACGTATTTTTTGTGTACAAATTTAAGGAGTATATTTAAAGGACAACTTTGAACCAAAAAGACCAAACTGTCAACAGGGTTCAGAGACAGCTGAGCTGTCAGGGAAAAAAAAAAAAATTATATAAGATAACAAAACTTGAGAGAGCTGAACAATTTGGCTATCCTCCTGACAATACCTTACTGTGCAGGTTTTGGGTTTTTTTTTAAAGTAACAAGCACACTCTACGTTAATTTAAAAGAACCTGGGGAAGTAGGATCTTTCCCTCTCAAAATGATTTGCATTCCTTATCAGAAGCACTTTTCTTACTGCTTCAGTTCTATCTGCTTTCACATGTTAAAGCCTCTATGAATGGACAGCCTGGAATCTCCCATGATGATAAAAGACACAGTTTACTGAGCAGCAGCACTGTCAGAACTCAGGAACCTAATAACTAATTGCTGCATTTGATCCGTCATGTAACAACTAAGCTCGTGTTCTTTCCATGCAGTGAAAAGCACTGTTATTTCTACTTTGTAATGGAATTTAGAAGTAACCACATGGATCTAATTCAGTGTTCAGGTGGTCAGAGTGTGTGCTGGTAATGCCACAGCTGTGGGTTTGATCCCACATGGACCACTCAGTTGAGAGCTGGACTTGATGATCTTTGTGGCTCCTTTCCAACTAACAATACTCTGTGATTCTGAATTTCCTTTTGGATTCTGCTGCCTTCATTGATCTCCAAGTGTATGCAATACTGTTATGCTTTACATAATCTTGATTTTTAATTATTGTACATAAGTGAACTGTAACATACTTCTCAGCTGTAGAAAAGATTTTCTGGCTTTCAATTCTGTACCTTGATTTGTTAAGTCAATAAAATTATATTGAAAATTTACAGAGAGTAAGAGTTTTAGAAGAGTCTGAAATACTCAACTACTCTTATATTAAAACCATCCTTTACAAGTATTTTACAGAGCCCAACATACCATTATCATAAGTAAATGAAAGCATATACCCTTGGACAGCATTTCTAGGGAGTTTTCCACCATAAAATGCAATGCCAAGATATTAATAAGAAACACAGACATTGCATGTTGATTAGCAGCAAGTATCAGAAGACTCTTGCTAAAAAATATCACAGCTCACAAGAACACATTCAAGGCAAGGATGAACAACACTGTCACATGAGCAACCTGTCCTAGTGGAAGTGGCCCATGGCAGGAGGATGGAGTGAGATCATCTTTAAAATCCCTTCCAGCTCAAGCCATTCTGGGTTTTGTGACGAAATGACAGGTAACCCTAGACCAGTAATGAATAAGATTAAAATGCGCCATAAGTCTAAAACTTATTGGTGCACACATTAAAAACCAGCATTTCTGAAGTTCAATGAAACCACTGGCTGGAGCTCCTGATGACTTTTTCAGTCAAGCACAAACTTACCCCAAATTGGCCCCACTCTACCTTTTGATGCATACTTCAAATTTTACTAGGATTTATGGGGCATTTATTAGTAAACTTTGCAATATAAAATACCTTCCCCCTCCTTACTGTATTCACTCATGTTTCCAAGGGTAGGCAGAGCCAAATGCATCTTTATAAGAATGAAATTCTTAAGACACGACTTGCATACTGTTGGAAAGGTCTCTTCCTTGAAAAGAAGATGTCTCTACAAAAGTGTAGTTACTTCCAGAACTTGGCAGGTATTGAACCATTTTAGTTGCCTACTTTAGGCTTTTATTTCCCATGTTCTATGTAAGTAATCTACTCAATCTGTAGGGCATTTAGGTATAGATGTGAGGTTCAAGTATTGATAAGAAATAAAAAATATTCTGTAATTTTCTCTGGAAAACAGCTGAGTGGAGGAGGATTGTCATCTTTACCACAAAACATAGCACTTGTGACTAGCTTAGTTTCCTGGATATGAAACTGAAGAGCTGTGAGAACTCTTTGTATTGATTTGAAACTAAGAAACTCTAAATAGAAAAGCCTGGAACCTTGAAGAGAAAAGGAAAAATCTGTGCAAGTCACAATTTAGTATTCCTCAAGGAAATTTTATTAGAACATGAAGTATTTATTTGAAGATTCTGAATCTCTGCTATCATAGCTTATTGAAAACAGTGAAGAATAGCCTATCTGAAAGACAATCCACCACTTGAATAAAAATTACAGTGAACTAATTTCCATTGGATACACAGGCTCCACAAAGTCTTTCAGAGAATTAAAACAGATAGCCCTTCACTATAAATCAGTTTATAAAAACTCCCAACATTTGTCTAAAAGGTAAATGTAATGAAATCTAGATGGATATGTATCCAGTATTTTTCATGTCAACTCTTGCTCAAACACCAAATGGAGAATGACTTAAGCTAGTATAAAGGACAAAGTCAGAATTATTGGACACAATTCTGCCTTCCCAATAAACAAAAATTTCTTGTTGATGAAAATAATACCAGCCTACTGGTTTTACATCTTTAGTAGACTGGTTTTATAACTAGAATAAGACTGGTTTTATAAAACCATCCATATCTTAAAGGGTTCTAGACTAAATGAGACAATCTTTAATGATATAGTCAGTATTGACTGCTTCACTTCTAAGTTTGATAAGGTGGAAACACTATTTTTAGCTAAAGTACCCATTGGAACAGAGTGCTAGAGCAGAGTGTGCAGCATTACATGGTGATGACAAGCCATTCTGTATTCACAGGCAGATGTGCTAAGTGTTCTCCAAGTACACTCTTATATCTTTAACTTCAATGAAGAAAGAAATTGCTCAAAGTTTATAAAACCAGAGCAAGTATTTTCAGGTGAGACACAAATAAGCCATCATCACAAGTGACTGAAATTTTTGTAATGAGATGCCCTGGGTCACTGGAAGACAATGAAAGCTTCACAATTACCTTTTTTACAGTCTTGTCAGGTTCAAGAGCAATATCTGGAATGTTGGCATCCACCATGAGGGAAAATAAATTCAAGATCAAGTTGGAATACCTAAGCAGAAGAGCAGATTAGATAAAACATGTTGTAAACTGTATAAAAGATATTTTGTAAACAACTTAATTTAAGAACTCATCACCATCTTACAAAGAACTGTTAATGCTTCAGAGATCCATTTTTAATATTAATTGAAAGTATTTATGTTAAAGAACACAAGATACTGACATACACTATCAAAGTTTAACCTTCAAAATCTCTCAAACTGCCAAAATTGAATAAAATACTCTGATTTTGTTATAGTTTTCTAAAATTGTCAGAACATTTACTCAGAGACACATATAAATATGAGACAAATATAAACTCTGATTTCATATATTTTAGGTTTTAATGCCATTTTCTACCTCTGTTAGGATATACATAGGCTAGAATACTAATGCAAAGGTTATTTTTTTATTATGAAGTGATACAGCAGCATGATATATATCCAAAGAGATTAAGTTTTCATAAGTACAAAAAAATATTTTTCCTATCACTGCAAGGGCTTTTGACATAATGAGTTAAACGTTTAACCAGATCCAAGTCTTCAGCTGCTCAGTTAAGCGCCAGTAAGAGTGGTAGCACAGTACATTTAGGAAGTACAAATGTCATCCATAACCATTAAAAGTGACAAATCAGAGAACAGTTTTAGGCTTTAAAATGGTGTTGGAAACACTCACGACTATCTTTTTAAAGTGCACACTTTGCCCTTGCTGAAAATTAGCTGTCAGTTTCTTTTTGAGAGGATAACTTTCAAGCAGTTCAACACAAACTGAAACTCCCCTTCCTCTGCAAAATATCCAGTTCCCTTCAAGACACAAGACATGTTACTTTACCATTTGAAATATTGCTTTGCTAAGAGAACCAGTAGGTTCACAGATGAGAGAAAATTAATTCTTAGCAGCAAAACTTGTTTATTAGGAAGCTGCTGAATATGTATCAACTGACAATTGCAAGGAGTGCAAAGTATTTCAACTAAACAAAAGGTCTGCTTCACAGCTGTATTTTACAAAGTAAACACTGCTCAAAAAAGACACCTCTCTAGAAAAACTTAATTCCAACAAAACCTCTTGACATTTTATTATTATCTGGAACTAACATTACCTAACACATTCCAATATAAGTTTTAAGACATTATAAGAAAAGCATTCAAGTCAACTGTTTGGCTAGAAATCTTCAGTGCCTTATTCCTTTTAGCAGTTTTACTTCAAGGGCAGAGAACTGGAGTCAGGAATATTACTTTTATGACAAATTAAAAGAAACAAATGAAAATTAACTCTACCATTTTGTTTCGGGTCTGGCTAAGAAATCTGGAAGTCAGGTTGCTCTGCTGCTAGAACTGACACCACAGATTTTAATCAATTTTTCTTCTACTTGCCTGAAACTAGCAGATTTTGTTTTAAACATGCTTAAATGTTACAAGTACATGCTCTGAAGTCTCTTCCTAGATTACTGGTGCCTTCTATCAGTAGTTTTCCCTTCAAACTGACAGAATCCAAAGTCTCAGAGTCCCTTTTGCTCTTCAACCACACAGAGGATAAAAGCTTAAAAGCACTACATGTTATTGGAGCTATTTATGTGATGGAGGCTTGTAAAAAAAGATTTTAAAAGTCTAGGCATCATTGTTGGATGCCAGTTAAGAGATGGTTCTGTTCCATACAATAAAATCTTCTGATTCTTGAAGAATAAGATCACCTGAAGAAACTCATTTGGGGGGGAAAAAAAAAAAAAATCAAGAAAAGGGAATCTGGGGGCGAGTATGGAGTGGTAAAAAACCCTAACAATTAAAGAAGAATTGCTCACTATACTATCTGCAGATCTGTCCTCTACCCCTCACCCCAACATTTCTACAACTCGGTAATCAACTGCGATCCTTCTTATAGGCAACATCTTTGGCAAACATGCCATGAGGATAACAGCTGGGGAACTGACAGCCCAAACTCTAGAGGAGAGATTTTGCTGAATCACCTGAGTTAGGAGCCTGACTTGTAAGAAAAACACTGTTGTCAAGCAAGGTATATCACTTATCTTTGACATGTACATTACAAAGGCCTCTGGAATGGCTGACATCCATCCACAGCCAGAACAAACTCTGAGCCAGGTCTTCCTAGTTTTAAGGAGGTTTAATGAACTACCCAAACTGAAACCTATATCCTTCTTACATTATTCTTTGCTTTCTTCAAACCCAGTACAAAATAAATGAGGACTCAGCTGCACTGAAGGTTGATTATCTTCTGGTTTGAACATGGAGTATTGTTGAAGAAATTCAACAAAAAAAACTCTACTTCTACATACAGGAGGTCTCATATAGAGACCTTTCCCTTACAGAGGGAAAGAAACCCATATCAGTTAAAAGGCCAAATTCTCATTACTATGTTTTCTGAGAATAGCAACTTTTGTTTTCAAGTAGATATCTCAAACACCTGCTTGATCCTAAGCATTCATTTATTTATTTTTTCAATATTTACCAGATCCTTTGCATATAGATGTCCTAAACCAATCAAATATTTAGGATGTTGATGTTGCAATACTCTTACCAAATGTGAAGCTACAAACATCCACTATAAAGACAAGGACAGGAAAGTATACAGTTATCTGCAGTCCCAAACTAAGGCCCTGCTTAGCTGGTCTAAAGTAAAAATTCCTAAGTTTAAAATGCCTTAAGGATACTACCTTTCTTTCCCCCACAATGAAATTATCTTCTCAAGAGCATGAATACCCCTAATCATTATCATGTCACAGCTGGCTATAATAAATTATGGCATTTATTCTTCCCTATGTATTTCCTTACAGTCCAAACTCAGTGACTATGGACCGGATCCCATTCAGGTTTGCTTTTGCTCTTCTCTCTTCACCATCTAATCCCAGCTTTTAGAACATTATCCAGACCCTGCACTACAATCTTTCCAAAGGAGCAGCACTTCCCAAGGGCCATCACACTTTCCACTTGTTGCACAGTGTTTCCGCTAGATCTGGAGAGCACCCCCAGTCACTAAATTGGGAACAGACTAGGGAAAAACTGCTCCAGCCAACGGGAGAAACCCACCCTCACAGAGAAAAAAAAATTCAGCCCAACTACAGCTTCTGTCCCTTTTCCAACTTACCTCCTACTCCTCTGCCCTCACCTATGCCCACTAACTCAAGCTAAACAGCAAGCTTCTCACAGGACTAATGCAAGGGAAAACCTTACTTGGAAGGAACAAAACTAGAGCCTCACTCTGGAAAAAATTCTGAAATGCTCTGACTCAATTCTTCACTGCCACAGATTGCCCAGAGATGGTGCAGAGTCTTCCTCAGTGGAGATATGCCAGAACATTCAGAACATCTGTGTGCCATGTGCTCTGAGATGACCCTCCTTGAGCAGGGCAGTGGGACAAATGATCCATTTTGTCATACTGTGGAACCTGCTGAGAACGTGTAACCAGGAAATTCTTGATGGAAAGGAAATGCTGACATGTAGCAGGATTTAAACATCTTTAAACAGGCTCAACATATATAATGGAAGCATAAGAGGCTGCTACAGCCCAAGTCCTGCTGACAGCTACAATTTACCCTGCAACACATTCAGAACGCAACAGCTGCTCCTTCACTACTGCACTGCTGACAAAGACACTTGACTGATTAGTGTTGCTCAAGTAGAAAGCATCTCCTTATTCCTATTCCCCAAGAAAATCCTCCAAACTAACTATACAACATACAATAACAATTATATGCCAAAATACTTACGACCAGAAACAACAGACACAACTATTCTTTCACCTGTAATTTTAAAATTCCTTACTTTTTTTTTCACTATGCAACCAACATTCAATCCACCAGGAATCCTGATACACCAAGATACAGTATTTGAAATATATAGAGAACTGGTTATTCCTCAGGGAAATAAAGAACCAAAATATAGCACAATCTGATGGAGATAACAGAGTTTGCACTTTGTCTTAGTCATCAGAGGTTATGATTTCATATTACTTGGCCAGAATATCTGTCTCTAAGTGGGTTTCTGTTAAAATGCAGAACTGTTAGAACTAAAATGTTCCAGAACCAATTCTTCTTTATTAACAAGTAATTAAAATTATTTTTACTTCTAGCTGCTTAAATAGTTACACTAATTTTAATATTATCATACACAGTAATGATCTACATACAATGTAATATAATAGATATCATAGTATTGTTGTTGAAAGTCTTAAAGGTATTTATCCAGAACCATGTAAAAATATTTTCCAATAAAATGAGCAAATACTGGCGATACTGTAATTATAATGACAATTCCAGATATTAAAAATGAAACCATCTTGATTTACAGTTTAGTTGAATACCCAAATTACCACTATTGTACAAATTTAATTATGATATTCGTAGCAAATCATTACATAAATTAATTCAATGAATAATCTGTCATTGACACAACAGACCTTTTCACTGAAATAACTAGGTTTAAACAAAAACAACTCAAGTATATGACAAATAAGAAATACAGCATTACAAAACAGCTTTAACCAAAGTTCAGAAGTTGGACTATTCTTTGAAGCCACAAATATTGCTCGTTGATAACATGCCACTGTTTTTTTCAAATTGTTGAATGTTTTTTAACCCATTAATAACTTCAGTTCCTAGACCAACTGCTTAGTCTTACTCCTTTTATCAATTGAAGAACTACATGCAGCATTTTATTTTGCATCACTGGCTGCTTTCCATATTCCAGGTACTTTGCACATAAGCTTACCATATTACCAACTAAGAAGTTGGTAATATGGTAACACATATTTGAAGGTTTCCATTAGGTATTCTTTGATATTAAAGTAAAAATATTTCTTCTTCATTGAAGACATGCTAAATCAAATCCCCAGACAGACCAGGAGTGCTTACCTGTGCTCAGTTCAAACAACAAAAATGAACTACTTGGCTCAGAGAGTTAATGCAAGTAATATAGTCACTGCTAAAGAAGGAAGCTGATTCTAAATTTAAAAGACAGATCTGTTGGTTCAGAGACTCCAGAGTCTAAAGAGTTTTTAGCTGCCACAATTCTGGGTATTTAAAGACATTTTGAACATGCTTGATTGTCACTACAAGTTGCTAATTTCTGTCCCACTGGAGCTGAACTGAACTAAGCATATGTGTGTGTGTCATCTTCAAGCCAAAGAATTTGATCATCACTAATTTAAACTGGAGGAGGATAAAGCAGCAAATGAGTAATGACTTAAATTAAAATGACAGTTCCTTAATCATCAATAAGAGGAAAAGAAGCTTATAGGCAAAAACATACCCAAAAAGAAATATAATTTAATATCCCACTTGAGTTATGAAATGAAGCTATTTAAGTTATTAAACAAGCAAAACTGAGGCATTTAACTCGAACAATTACATTCACCCTCCACATTACACCAACACTGTGATGTTTCCATTCCTTTGTTTCATACAAAATCTTGTGTTCACATTTAAAGAAGGTTTGAATTTTCAACAGAAACATTTCAGCAATTCATTTAGTGGTCTCCTCTCCTGCTTTAGAGTGGCTCTCATGAGTTCTGGCATAAACCATAAAGCCAGTGCTGTTACCTGCGGAGGTGGAGAAAGGCTGTGTAGCACTGCTTACGGAACTCCTGGTACTGCTCACTCTGGGTGCCTCCCATGCCTTCCACCATCTCTTTGTTCAGCTTCATTGGCGGAGGAAGGGGCTTGGGGTCCCGGCCCAGAATATAACCAAAGTCAATGTGAAACAGTTTACCTGTAAAAGAAGGCAAACATTGCACATGTAAAAGTTCTTGGTGCAAAAATTAGAAAAATAGAATCATTAAGAAGATAGCAAGCAGTTCCAAGGAAGTTTTCTGGAAGATATACTGTTATAAATTTTTATCTTCAGCTATTAACTGGGAATTATGGTTTTTAAAGAAGCAAATCTGATTTAAAATTCAAGGTTTTTTTATTTTTAAACATGTGGAGTATATTCACAAAGACTGAACTAATACTGAAACTGGTCAGTGGATATTAAATGCACAGTTTACATAATAGATACTACTAATGCTTTGCACTTTATAATTTCTTAGCAAATTTAAACATTAATACTTAAAGAGGTGTAATCCGTTTCGCATTTGGTTGCTGTGGCAAGAAAGATGGTAAATTTAACATAAAAATAATACAACAGAGAAAGTAAGACTCACAATCCTATACAAAGCCACTGAACACCAATCAATGCTGCTTCAAAAGTCTTTTGAGTTGTTCAGGTAGGGTCAAAATTATCAGTGGTTTTGAAATACACTGAAGACACATCGCTACACCTTCAAATTTGAAAATGGAATTTCAAATCCACCAAGAAGTTTGTCATACCCTTTTCCAGTACTAAAATGAATTCCTTCACTTGATCACTAGGTTTCTATTCTCATTTCAACTGATTGCATTTAGAACACTTCTACAGCATTAACAAAAACTTATATATACCTCCTCTCTTCAAATGCACAAGGCAATTGCCCTTCCTATCAATATCAACAGCCTCCCATGCTGCTCACCATAATGCTAACAAATTAAATGGGGAGAATTCAGAATGTTCCCTTTAAATATTATTGAACGTATATACATGAGATGTTATAGGTGGCAAAATGAACAACTGAACTTCCCTTGGTAAACTTCAGTTTACCAGTAACTTCAAAAACTCTAAAATATTTAGATTAACTGAGGAATAAGTATATTATAAATGCACAAAAAATTATGTTACTAGTAAAAGTAAAACAATTCATAATTCTTAGGTAGCCATTTTTTAGGAATAATATAAATACTGTCCATATTAAACAGAAAAATGCCTCTTAATGTGTTCTGAAAATGTATTTTTAGTTTGGAGTGTGTAATTTAAGCCATACCACAGCTGTATTACAAAAAGATGGTGAGACTGCAGATATGCATGCAGATACAAGATAAGAGATCTTTTAAACAAGAAGGCAGAAAATTATTAGCCTGATTGTTATCTAGACAAACAGCACAGAGGATAGAATCTTGCTTCAGAATTATGGAACTGAACAGCATTATAGACAGAGGTGTATTTGCTATAGGGTATTTTAACCTGCATCATGTTTATTCATTTTAAGATTTCATAAGATTAGGTTCTCAGTGCTCTTGGAAAAAAATGCAGCATTCATATTTTACAGTTAATTATGCTTCTTTGACTGTTTCGTTGAATAATAATGTAGTATCAATAGAAAAGGCTTTTTGACATCTATCATAAGCATTCTTTTTCAATAAAAGAAACAAATTCCATGACAGTCCAATTTCAAAGAGACATCACAAGTATCCTCAACAAGAGGCAAAGTATTTCCTGATTGATAAATGCCATAACCATTACATTTTGCATAACTAACTGTGCTATAATAAAAAACATTCTTTCAATACATTTTTTCTGGGCTGGTAAAGGAGATTCTTTTAGCACTCATTTTTGTACACCAAATTTTGGAAGCAATCACATACAGAACCCTTTCATCATGAAGCTAGAAAAATTGTTTAGCTGAAAAGTTTTGGGGACTGTTCACTTATTCAAACTTGTCACCTTGAAGAGTCAAGAAACAACAGTTTGAATAAAACAGTAACCCTTGTAGCAGAAAATAATTTTTTTCAGTTTGCTCTGGAGATAAGGAATAAAAGATGATAATTAATAATTTACACTGGTAACAAAGACATCTAATACATTCAAAAATATTTCAATAATTGAGTGAAAGACTTAGAAAGTGAGCTGAGGCCATCCTGTGTTAACTTTATACGTTTCCTAGATGTACTTCAGAATTCAGCAGCTTTTTAGGCTGATTTAAAATGTATGTACAAGGTCACATTTAAATAAGTATATTTAAAACCTTTCAAACCTGTCTACTAAATACAGACTTAGTTAACTTTAATTCAGCTCCTGCAAGATCAATTAAACCAGAACACCATGTTACCGAACATGGACAAAAGGCTCTCCCTGGTGCTTGCACAAAGATGCTATGAGCAGCCTGAGGGAGCACTGAAGGTCTAGAGATTTTTACAGGGGAACCTGACTCGTGTTACCCTCCAGACTTAACAACTGAACAAGTGAAGAACAAGCTTGCTTTGGGCAAATTAAATTTGCTACGTATATAATACTGAAAATAGGAGGCAATATTTATATTATTATTTATGCTAATATAAATTTATCATGATAATAAACTCAATTATTTCAAATCTTCAATACCAAGATAAAAAGGTTGCAAGTATCTCAGCTGATCTTCCCAAGTGCCATTTGTATCAGGATATTACACTGACTATTCCACTTTCATAATATTAATTAATGCAACAATTTTCACTCAGAATAACTCCAATTGCAAAAATAAGGAGACCTCTGGAGGACATCTAGTCCAACCCCCGTGTTGAGCAGAGACACCCAGAGCCAGGTGGCTTAGCTGGGACCATGTCCAGACAGTTTCTGAGTATCCCCAGGGATGGTCTCTCCACAACTTGTATCAGTCACTTCCCTACTCATATCATGATATTTATATACAGTAATCACCTATCCTCCCAGTAATCCAGTCTTCATGTGAACTTTGTGCAATACTACTTTTTCTAAAGTATGTTATGCATATTCTAAAGTATGTTATTCTTTGTGCAACAGTAGTTTTTGGAAAGCATGTAATTGTAAAACATGGTTTTACAATCAATTACATGACCTTCCTTCAATATACAGTGTGAGTGTCATAACACATACACTTCCAGCTGTTAGACCATCATGTTTTACCATGATCCAACTTATTCTGATTTATTATGTCTTAATTTAAAAGGCTCCTAATCTATAGACATGCATATAAATTACAGACAAAACTGGGCCTCTACTTAGGTTTACTCATGTTCCCAAAGGAGTGCTCAATCATAAAGGTGAGGGGTTTCTTTGTTTGTTTCAGTCATGACTTAAACTAAAACTAGGAGTTACATATGACAACATGTGAAACAAATCTCATCTTTAAAACTAGTGCACTAGAAATCACCCTGCCCTCCCCATTTATTTTACTGTAGAAAAAGGAAGACCTAAGGCATTTACTGACTGGAAGAAGATGAGAAGCTTCCAGGAGTAAACAGCATGCATATATAAAAATTTTTAATTCAAAATCTAAAAGTTGATACTATTGAGTACTTTTGAGCTTTTGGTTTTTAAATTTTTTTTCTATGAATTAGGCTACCTTTTTCCACTCAATACCTGGTTTTCTAACATATGGAATAAAGAGGAAAGGCCACAGGAGACTTAAGTATATGGCACAAAACATGGAAGTTACCCTGACTACTAGTCAGGGCATCAGGGATTTCCAAGTCCATCTGACTTTCTTTCAGCAATCTTTAATTAAGTGAAGCATGGACCTGCAGATAAACACCCATGTAACTGCTAAGAGCCCAGCCTGTCTTCAGCATTATAACTCACTTCCCTCCCTAAACTGTCCATTTTCAAAACACATTCCATTCAGGCATGTTGTAAGAAAAAAAAACAGGTCTGATATTTATAACTAGAATACAAATGCTGTTCAAGGTACCTAGAAGAAAAAGTGTTTTAACAGATCAAAAGCTAAAAGGTTATGTTCTTTTTAATAATAAGCATCACAGAAAATGGAATTCCAGAGAGAAGTCTAAAGAACAAAAGTATACATTAGTTTTTGATTTTTATTTTTAAATAAGGATATCCCTCTATCAGGACCAGTAACATTTAAAAACATCATTTAAAACTGTATTGTACATACTACAGTATTTTGCAACATTAATAAATATATTTAACAATGTACTTGTCTACGTACTGATATAGAGAGAATCTTGCAGGTTTTCAATTCTACCATCTCAGACCTGCTTTGGGATATGGTTTTTTTGACTGAAAAACTCAGGAAGTACAAACACATGGTGTAATTTCATATATGAATCTGTTCAGGTCCTTGCTGTCTTTCCCAATAACCCTTTTTAACCAAGACTGAAGAACAAATGTGGTGTCAATTGGTGACCACAATTCTACCTCTAAGGATTAAATGAGAAGACAGTCCAGTTCTTTCATCTATTTACTCATGATGCCAAAAGCAAATGTGGTTTTCGAGTTCTGAGCACCCAGTCTCTGACCTGCTCTTAGATATTAACAACATAATTTTATCCACATAGCAATTTTTCCTCTTTATACAGAGCAATGTCAAGTGTATGTACTTTGGGAACTCACACTGGGAACTTGCATATTCATGCAGCTCACCAGAAGTTACTGATAAGCTGGTCATCACTAGGGTGAGAGTAAGTTGGTCAGAAGCACATATAAGCAGTGCTATCAAGAAAGCCATTTGAAAGTCTAAGAAATCCTACAAGATCTACACACAGCCTAGACCTTTGTGAAACCTCTGTATGTCTATAAAGCAAGTTGGAGCTACTAAGATACTTCTAATGGGACAGGAGACTTCACTTGTCTATGAAAGCTCAAACACTTTCTAACTCTCCTTATGACTGTACTGACTGTCTTGCAAATATTAGTACCTAGATCCTGACTCTACAATCAAATCAGAGAGAGTGTAAGAACTGCAGAACATAATGTTCTCAGGAGAAGGCATGGCATAACTACAATATAATAGCCTAGTGCATATTCCATGGAAGTTAACTGAATATGCTACACCTTGTATATCACAATCCAGCTTCACAACCACCCAGATCCTCCTTCCAAGGCAACAAAAAAAATTTTAGCTGTTAAATCAGATGCCAGCTTCAATAAATAAATCAGTCTGTAATCCTAAAAGGAAGCACTGATGCTGCCTAAACCTGGGCATACAGCTGAACAACAGTGTCTTCTTATCTACAAATCACAGTAGTATCTGCTACAGATTTAGAAACAAGATGATAAAATGCAGACTAATTGAAAATGCATTTTGTCTCCATGAGAAGAAAAAAGTTCAAAGTTTTCAGAGAAAATAAATATCCAAGGATATAATGGAATACTGAGTATACAATCTGACCTTTGGGTTACCAGCCAGGACACATTTATGAAACTGATGCAAGTCTTTTTGTAATTTTTAACATTACTGACAGATAAGGATGTTTTGACTGAAGGTTCCCCACATCTCCTTCCAAACACACTTCTACAGTTGTCCTTGAAATATAATGATACAGCACTTAAAAACCTGAAAATCCAGATCACTTTTTCAAGATCACTACTACAAAAAAGCCACTCAATTTCTAGAACTATAGGCATAAAAGAGTAATGAAAAACAACAGAAATTATGTCATTAGATAACTGACATCTCATGCAAAAAACTACATTTCTAATGTGTAGAAAACAGTATGTTTTTATGAACTTCTGTATATAGTGCTTAATATTTAAATTATCCTGTATCTATTATAAGCATGAACTTCTGTATGCTACAAGATGATGAACCAATTCTATTGGAAGGAGTCTAATAGATGTGGCTACATTCACCAAACTGAAAAGCTGAGCCAAAAAAAAGGTAATGACATCTAAGAAATATGTGAACCCACAGCTGGTACCCATCATTCTTTACTTACTGGAAAACTTCAATTCATTAAATGAATATCATTAAGAAAGGATGCATATAGACTCATATGATTTTGAAGGTGGTACTTGGAGCATGCATTCTTCAAGAGAAGAATGAAATTACTTCTTCCAACTTAACACTAAGGGATTCTCAGCAGCAAGAAACAAGCCTTGGTAGCAAATCTTTATTGTACTTGTAACATGTGGAACATAAGGATTTCTCTTCATAGCTCAAAAAAGCTCTCAGTTGGTGGCAGACTGGGTTTTCAGACTTGGAATATATGATGGATATGCACTGCCCTCTGCTGTACTCCCCAAATTATTCCAGTAAAGCCACCGTGTTGTACTTCTTAACATAGAGAGGTAAGATGCACTTTATCCCAAATCAAAACACTGAACTATTACTACTCTCAGCATGCAAGCAAAGCCTGCTATGAAAGATTTATACCCACCACCACAGATAAATGAGAGATCTCTCAAGACAGATCTTTAAATGATTGTTTATATTATTTTTAAACAGATAAGGTAAAATACACTTACTTTAGCTGTTCCCCCATGAGCTTAGAGCAAGACCTTTTATCCTAATCACCAATTTTTAATTTTTTATGTCTTTCAGACATACTATCATGGTTAAAAGCAGTATATGCTTCAGCCTTACCTGTAACTAGCAAGCCTTCCATGTGGATTGTTTATTTTTCAAAGTAACATTTTTTATTTAAGCGTTTCTCATTCAATAGACGTTTCACTTCATAATAAACACTTAACCACAACTCTTAATTCTCCACCACTATGTAATGAAGGTATTCAAGCAATAAGAGCTCCTAGGGAAGCTAGGAGTAAGCAAGCAAGTAAAAATAAACTAAACAAAAATTCAAAAAGACTTTCCTCTGTAAGAAATGTTATTTGACAAAATTTTGTGAAGCACATGCAGCTACACATGAACTCATTTTCAATGAAAACTGCTGAAATTCTCTCTATTCTACAGCAGTTATTATAATAGTTGAAGTAGTTTTATTTTCAAATTCTTCATTTCCCCTAGTTAAGAAATCATCTTCTTATTACACACTGGAGCAAATATTACCTTAAATGAGACAATATAATTTACATTTAAAATATAATCTAGTCTGCAAAAAAACAGTGGGTTATATTCACAAGGAAAATGCAACGAAAAAATACCAACACATTAGAAATTAAACAACTGTTGCAATAAAATTATACTGCAAAAAGAATTACCTGTTTTTGTTAGCAACAGATTATCCAGATGTCTATCTCCAACTCCAAGGATGTAAGTAATCACACAATAACCAGCTGTAAAAAGAAAATTGTAAACATCAGTATGAGTACCTTTCCTGGAGAGAAAGAAGTTCCACACAATTAACAGCATATTACATTATCTTAGGTCTCGTTCACTAACAATAAATATACCACAGAGACTTGGGGCAGGAGTGGTGCTGGTGAAGAATGATCAAGCTTGTCAGCACTATGAAGAATATTTGAAGTACTACAAATCTGGAACGTTTTCAGTACTGTCAGGATTTTAATTTCTTATGATACAATTACATGCCTAACCCTTAAAGACTAAATTAGTTCAATATTGGAATAAAGGTACTTCAAAAGAAGCTGAAATATTTTGAACTAAGTGAATGTACATGTTTTGAACTGAAGCTATTTTAAGGCCACTGCAAACAAGTATTAGGCATGGTTATGAGCCTGGATAGCCATGTCAGCAGCATTCACAAGATCAGCAGTGATAAAAAGCACATTGTTTCAATTGCTATTTTCACCCACTAACCACAACAGTTTGAAGCAGTTCTAAAGACTGCACCATCAGAAAGAAAAGGACAAAGGGGAAGATATTGTGGAGTCACACCTGAATGCTCTTTTTTTTCCCTTTTGTTAGAATGGAGTTTTTTTAATTTTATGGAGAGCACACGTAGTATTTTAACACGGTCATCAGTTTATTGAACATGAAATACACTGCCACTTTCTCTTTTCATATAAATGTAACCACAGACCCCAAAAGGCCTAATGTTTTCAAACCCAATTAGAATCTGATACAGATGCTTTATCATTATATAAATGTTTTATGTGTCCCTCCATTATGAAGACCCCAACTCACAATACAGACAGGGCAGAGATAAGATTACTGCTGGAAAGCAAAGAGTATTTAACTCATAATCTCCTTGAAGAACCACCAAAAGTGGTCTTGTGTGTGACATGACAAGCTTAAAATTATTATTTTCACTGCATTTCTGACAGCAAGTACATGCACAGTGCCCTGTTTGCAGCCACATAAACTGAAATAACTTAATATCTCATCCACCATACCCTTCAGACTTCCCCTAAGACATTACCAGCTGTTAGACTGTAACTCACCACAGCTCTTAACATACGTGTCCATCACCTCTGCACTGATTCCATGAGGGCCCGTCTCACTAGGGGCATGCTTTCTGAAGAAGTTCTGGAGAAAATGCCATGAAGTTATTTAGTTATTCCACGTAATATGAAACTGGGTCTTTAGGAGAAAAAATATTTAAAGCAAGACCACACATGGCCGTTATTACAATGTGTTAAACTAACAATGACCCCCAGAACACCTCATAAGATCTAGTTTAATATACCTTTATTTATATCCTGTGTCAATCATTGTATTCTTATACTCGACACAGAAACTGAAAAGCAGTTTCCTTTATTAAATGTTTCAGAAAATTAACAATGAACTCAAAAGTTACTAATCAGTATCTATGAGTGACAGTACTTCCAAGGCAAACTATTTAGGTCACATCAACCAAAACTAAACCTGGATTAACAGTCCTGCTTTATAACTACATTTGGGGAGCATGCTCTCACAGGGTTTACTATCCTGATTATCCTTATGTCTCCCTATTCATCAATAAAACCAACTGCTGCCATTGAGTTTAAAAAGCAAATAAGCCTAAGTCATCAAATGGAAAATCTGAATTTCCTGTGAAATGTGGACAAGGCCAAACAATCCTCTTAACCTTCTTGAGTAAGAGAAAACTTGGTTATATCCAAGCCTAAGCAAAGTTTCTTCCAGTAAGCACAATCTAAGGAAGCACTGTAGTAGTGTAGTAGTCCCCTGGACAGCATGTACATTACTAAAATCATAATGAAAACTAAGACACTTACATAAATGAACTTCTAAAATTTAACTGCAATTTTAGGGTTGTTGACAGAAGGTAAGTAACACTGAAACACCAAAACACCTTTTCTCTCCTGGAGATCTGCATTTCACCAGGCAACACTGGTGTACTGGCTTTAAATCTTTTCAGTAGTTTTATACAGTGCTCATCTTTACCAGAACTGCTGTGAAATCCAAAATGAGTATTTCCAAAAAGACTAAACCAAACTTCCACAATATCTAAAAGTATTCAATTACTTTTCATTTTCTTGGCCTACAATGCCCAACTATTTTATCTTGTTTCAGAAAAGGAAATCTCACTCTTTTGCTGCACTGTCTACTTAGATTAAAAATTCTTCACAGGAATAATTGCTCCTTATGTCTGCATAGCAACTGAAATAACAGGACACCTATTTCCAGTCACATGATGTTGTAAGAAATTGAAAAATAACAGTTCGCCAGCATTTCTAAACACATTATTTTATAAAAACATGTAATGGAATGAATCATGAATAGCACACTTCCAAATTACAAAGGATTGTCAAGAAAATACTTTATAAGCACTGTAAAATTATTGACTGTGCAGACATGCCTTATTACAACCTATATGGAATGGAAAGCTAGAAAAACTCCAACTTATGTAACTTGATGCTGGTCACTGATTAGTGATAAGCATTTTTTATATGTGATAAATATTTAGTAAGCTTATTTGTTAAGCAAATTATAAACAATTTAGATCTTCATATTTTTAACATAGGTAGTTTACAGGACCTGAAAACTAGTTTGCTTTGGCTCAGTTACTGAACTGTAAAAAAATGCAAACTTCAGTATCATCTACACAAAAGAAAAAAAGCACCATGACAAATCAAATCCAAATAAATATGTTCTATTGTCATTAAAAAATCTATTAGCTGCTCACCTCATTTAGCAATTTGGTATGTTTTTATCCAGTTATATTTATCTCAGCTAGCTGAGCTCTGCTATCTCACTTGTGTACTGGGCTTGAAACCAGTATGAAGTTGTGTGCTACTATTCAGTTGTGTGCCCCCACTCAAATCCATGAGAATTAAGAAAATCTGCTAACAAAACCAAGTTACAGTACCTATACATCCACAATTGAGAGGAAACAGGCTTCAGAAATTATATGAACAAATTATTTAGTTCATATAGTTTAGTTCATAATAGTTTCTTTGTTTCATTGAACAAATAAAAGAACTAATCATATTTTGACAAGGTCAAATGAATGAAACAATAACACTCTGAAACAAAGCATGCAGCAAAAAGTGTCTGGTATCTGCCATTTGTCATTACAGCAAAGCTGGGATTTCAATATCATAACTAAATCCATTGTAATTTATTTAAATAGTGTTACTTTCAGAACATGAGATACTCAAGTGGTCATTTATACATACCTTTTTAAACAAACCCCAAATGTTTCCAGCTGTAATTTGTCTTCTAACAGATCAAAAAATCATCTGAGAGACTAAGAATTTTGCACAAGATCTAAGCCTTCAGCTTACAGTGTTTGATCAGAAGACAATTTACAGCTCCCCCATCACATACCTGTATAGTTTCCTCAGTAGCAAGAACTTCGGCAACTGGTACTGATGGAATAAATTGCATGAAGCCTATGACAGAAAACAGACAGAAGAGAAAATCTCCAAGGCACAGAACTTTCAAACTACTCTGTAATACATGTTTATGAATGGCAAAACTAATACACAGTCATTCAACTGCTTCTCATAGGAAAAAAACCCCACTTTTTTTGGTCCCATTTTCCAATATCCTGCCTTCAATACTTTTAAAACTACTTCTCATTAACACCAAATTACCTTGCAAAAGGCGTTTTTTCACAAGGCTTCAAGATGAGAGAAAGTAAGTTGATGGCTTTCTAAATATTTATCTAGAATATATCTAAAAGTAGTCAAGTTTGATTTTTTGTTTTTCTCCTCCATTTTATGCAAGGATCTCTAAATAGAAGTGTTAGGTTATTTATTCACGATCACACTGCAAGCCAGCAGCAAAGACTGGTAACTGCTGATTGTCATTTACTCGTGAATCCTGACCAGGCTCCTTTTATGAAGACATGTGAGTCACCTATGGAACCCTGTGGTGGCTCAGATTGTTTACTTCCATGGCTTAAACTCTAACAAGACTTTCTTACACACTAAGAACACAGGGAGAAGATTCTTCTCTGTACTGCATTTTTAGTAAATAAATGTATTCATACCATGTTTCGTACTAGTTGCGAGCACTTTATAAGGTGTCAACTTCAAATCCAGATTCTCTTTTCTTAACAGCTGGAAAAAATAATATTAAAAAAGGAAAGATGAATGCAACAGAAAGGCAGATTCTATTACTAAAAGGCTGTGTATTGGACATTGATCTCCACTGTTCTTCACTGAAACTGATAATGAGTGAGAGCCTGTTTGGCAATTCTGTGGTTTTTTTTCAATCTACACAAGGTAATTGCACATCTATACAGAAAAGAAAAAAAAGGCCACCTAGAGATCTGAGAACTCTGGAATCATCAGCAATATAAGCTGCATTAAAAGTGTTTAACAGTCTTGCTTTTGACAAGGAAAATCAAGAAAAGAGAAAGACAAGGATATTGATTAATAATTTTCACCTTATCCATGAGTGAAATAATCTGAAGAATAAGTTGATCTTGACGTAAATCATCGCCATGCTTAAAAATTACAGGATATTTGCCTCCATCTTCTGTCTTGAAGAATAACTGAGCAGGCATTAAGGCACTCTGTAAAAGGAAATGTACTACTAAGCTAGTTTACAGCAGTGCTCATATTAACACATTGCTACAATGGAGCTTAGAAATAAAATCTTTGCATTGTATTTGCATTGCCTCAATAGTTTAGAGTGTACCACCTCCAATTACCAAAATTGTAATGTATCTTAAAGAGAAAAATACCTTAATGTTTTCCTTCTTTTTTTATCAAGGATACATTCTCCCTCCCTGCACCCCACAGCAGCAGAAGAGGAAAGGGCAGAAGTATTCCATTTTGCATGTTACTCCAGTCAACAAGGAAGCACTATGCAAAAGCTCACATCAAAAGAAATTTTAAGTGATCAGATCAAAAAGTGACACAATTACAGGATAAGCAAGAAAGAACTCCTAGGGGCACGTAATCTTAAACAATTAATTGCTTCCTTAATCTCTTTAAAAAAAGCAAAAGTTCCTTTTTACATTATTGTTTGAGCAAGTCCATTTAATTGTTTGCAATTTTTCCACATAAAATGGGTCAAAGGGGATCAATTATCTACATGAACATTACAATCTATTGCAACTGACCAAGTCACTTCTCTCCACGGCAAACCAAACAAAATAATCGAGGTACAGAGTTTAATCTTGAGCAGTTAGATTACATTTTTAAATTAATACCACAAAATTATTAAGGTCTAGAAGTAAAAGCAAAATTATTCTTTACGTAGTCCTAGAAAAGCTAATGTGATGTCCAAGGGCACCTAAAATTAGTAATTCTTTCCTTTTTAATTCCATCTGGATTTTTATCCCACAGCCCAGAATGGAAAAATGTAAGCTATCAGACTTAGGAGAAGGAAAAAAAAATCTTTGATTTTAAATCAAGTTGCATCTCACATTTTTGGCCCTACATTTTTTGCACAGCTACAGAAGACCAATATGTAAAAGACTGCATTGAGTTTGTCCTAAAGAACTTCAGCAGTTATTACTGAGAGGAAACAGTTGCTGTTCCAGCAATCTGTTTCTCCACATTTTTTCCCTAACTCTTAAATCATACGCACACAAAATGATTATTTGAGTTTGCAAAAGTTTGCTTTCGTAACAAAATCTTTTCGATGTTGTCTCCAACCAAAGGTGCAAGAACATGCCACTGGAGAAGCCTATGATTCAAAAGAACTAACTAGATACAGAAAGAAGCAAGCTAAAACTTGTAGAAAGCCATGCACAAAATATCTCTGAATTTAAGCAAACTCAAATTACAACAAAATCAAGAAGGAGTCTGATGAAACTACTGTGCATAATAAGTCTAGGACCTATTAGAGATGACAGATTTAACTGTCATAGCAACCTACAAGAATTCTTTAACTGGCAAACAAAGGGTTCCAGGACATAGGCCCAACTTCTACAGCAAATTTTGGTCATCCTGAAATTAGATTGCAGTTAGCTATAGGAATTGAATGCCAATTTATAAAATGTTCCGACACCACTGAGCACAGGTAATAAATTGCACGGCAGGAATTAACTTATATTTCAAGAAGTAAAATAAACAAAATAACCCCAGCCCTTTCAATGGTACATGGGCTATTTTTTTGGTCACAAGCAGCAGCTATAGTTTGGCTTAAAGAATTACCAAACATAGGGCTATAATATTTACCTGTCAGCTAACTGCAACTACATGATATGGAACAGCACAGTGTTTTCCACTCTCTGTGAACTTAAGCTTTATTAAGCAATGGACTAGACCTACAGATCTTAATGAGACACAGCACACCTGCTTTCATTTACATGATTTTAATCTTAAAATGCTACTCCTGTTGAACACACGAACAAAATTCTGGGAAATTCTAAACTTCATCATCTGTATCACTCTTATAAAAGCTGCTTCAAAATTAAAAAGTTTAAATTAAAAAACAACAGAAAATAAGGAGTTGTTTAACCACTTAAAGAGCATGCTACAATTGCATTTTGCCTGGACTAGGGCTGTCCCTTTAAATCTTTCAACTGTTGTTTCTAAGCTTAGGATTCACAAGACTTGTTTGTATTTCAACTATTCAGAAGCTCTCATTTACCTTGAAGAGTGTGGCTTTTTCAGGGATTATTCCTTTAATTTTCACCTGAGGTTCCAGAGGAAGTGGAATAAGTTCCATATCTGCTAAATTCATCTTTTCATTATCAGCTAACAATGCCTGAAGCCTCTCATTCTAAAAGAATGAAAATTTGTTTAAGAAAAAAACCCACAAAACATAAAACACACACTAGGCATACATGAAGTCCATAAACAAAGGATGCATTACTAACAAATATTCAATTTATTCAATTTATCCATACAAAGAATCAAGGTTTCACTCATACAATCCAGCAAAATAAAAACTCACTATTTGCAGTAATTTGAATAACAAAGGAGATACTCCATCTAGTACTAGTATAGTCAAGCAATTTTCTAAGTTCTATATAATATATAATATAAATATAGTATATCTATATATAATATAGACATATATATATATATCTATATAATAGCCTTAAAAAAACTTGTTTCTAAGTTGCCCACACAAAGCACAGGATGATTTGTTTTTCATACCTAAATTAAATGTTAGTTATGTTTCAGAAATTGATTCAAATCCAACTCAGAAATTTTATATACCTCAATTCCATCAAGAAATTTCCTACCACCAAGGAACCAAATGGCCAATAGGTTGCACTGATCTGATTTACAGACTTGCTTGACATTCCTACATCTGTAGTTATCAGAAATACAAAACTTATCAATTTTTGAGTACTTTACACTGTATGTCCTACACAGTAAAGGTTCAGTATGTTAAAGTTCCTAGCCTTTTCCCTTGCTGAATATAACAGACACACACCAAGGAGGCCCACAACTGTTACAAATAGCTCCAGTGCTTAATTGCTGCTAGCTAGATTGCAATCTAAACGTAAAAGCCATGTATTTCTTAGTTTTACAGAAATTTCTTAAAAGAATATAAAACTGAATACTACCAATGCACAAGCAGGAAAGAGAATCTTACAAATTGCAAAATTCTCTCCTTTTAGTCTTTGTTACTGATACACAGAACAAGTTGCCTCACTTTTTGTTAATAATTGTTTTATTTTTCTGCGTAAATATACCCCATACATTTAAAGAAACCATCACACTGAAAAAATCGTGTTTAAAAATACTGATGTGTGTCAAAGGAAAAGCTTATACCGAAAAAGAAATCCCTCTACCATTTCCACTTTCTTTCCTAGACCTGCCTGCCAGGTGCACTTAAAACTTTAGGTAAGAAGGACAAAGCTTCTTGAAATATGGAATAGAAAGTCTTTTCCTCAAGACCTGACCGAAAACAGAGTTCTGATAAACACATACCTTATAGAAGAACAGATTTATTGGTCTTGGAACCAATGAAACCTTCCTGCTAACTGATTTTCACTATCTATCCTGGCATATCATGCATGTAACAATAACGTCATACTCTCCCACATCCCCCGCAACATGTTCAATTATATTAACTATTTAATTATTCTGATATCTTTCTTTGGCCGAAACATCCCATGAGTGCTCCTAAGGGCATCTTCTCTTTTCTAATACACTTTGGAACCTGAACATCAAAATTTTTCCAAAGTTTGTTCACAGTTAAACAAAATTATTTCGGAAGGATGGACATCTGTTACAGACCTAAGCGCTAAGAACTTTAATGAAAGGCCAACATTCCTACCCATTGTCAAATTTAAGCCACAGACAGGCTTTCCAATCCTTTAGTTACCTTTTTCTTACGATTCCCACTTTCACGCTGCACTGCCTTCATTACATGAACCAACCGATCTACAAATGTCTGCTGGGCTGCCAAAAGTGAGCGCATAACTCTGACAGACTTATCACCCTAAGAGAATGAAAAGAAACAGAATTAATTTCTTGTTCTGTAATTATTTTATCTAGAAATCATTCCTTTTTTTCTTAGACCTTTGGGCTTTTAAGAGGTTAAGTGAATAATGATCAATTTCCCATCAATTCAAAAGGTATTTTCTGTAAAACACAATCACAGTCACTGTAGCTGGCAATCAATTATCTGACCTAACACTGCACTTCAATTTGCTTCAACAATTTCAGTGGTGAACAGTCATGCATGACAAACCAATTCACACAGCCAAAATAAGTTAGTATGGATAACTGTGAAATACTCTTATAAAGCACAAGAGTCAGATTCAAGTAACTCCCCTAAAACTGGAAATAATATTAAGTGTGAGATACATGAAAATCTGTAAAGACTGCAAATCTGCTATACAGTAAAACTTCCAATTCACAGATGTTTTTTCGGCTGTTTTAGTTTGTTTTTTTTTTTTTCCCCGCAGCTCCAGTACCCTCTGCTGCTGACACACAGAACAGCAAGTGCTGTTTCAGAGTTCCAGATCAGTCTGTCCACTTTCACCTCAAGGACAAGAGTTTACAATAAATAAATAAATAAATAGTAAATAAATTACATTGACTTCACAAGGCTTTTAAAACATTTTAGATTTAGTGTAAGGCAGAGTATTCTAGAATCAGTATGTTACTAACAGGAACAAAAACAAAAGAGAAGAAAGACTTATCAATATATATCCTTTTCCTTCTTCACAGTTTCTTCGGCTTACTACAAACTCAAAATTCAAGCAGAATTGGAAGCTTTTATAAAATTTCAATGCATGTGACATACATACACAAAACACCCCAACACATCCTCTTAGACACCAGAACCTTCTTAAGGAAGGACTATTCCAAACGCTTATGGACTTCTTTACACAGAGGCATTACCTTCAGCAAAGCCTGACTGAATCTTCTCATCACGTTTAAGTACATTTCATGAGTCTTTGGGTCCCTCTGCTGAGTATCTTGGTCTTCACACTCCACTATTACATACCTGCAGCATAAAAACAACCTGAGTTATACCATACTCTTGGAGCTACACAATTTGAGAGAAACATAGGAGCCCTGTATTACAGACCTGGAACTAAAAATTAATATAATCTTTGAGTTCTTTAGCGCAACCAACAGCTGAACTCTTAAAATTGCATCGTCCCCAGCTCCATTTGGATCAGGAGAGTCTATCAAAGTGTTTGATAGCATCATGACTCAAAGAGGATACACCTGAAGTCCAAATCATATGAACACACCAGCCAAGAAGTAAAACTGAGCATGTGTTCCACTGTGATACCACCTGCTACATAACTTAGTGGCTGCAAACTTGTTATTCAAGAGCACCTTGTTATTCAAGGAGAATCTCTTCCTACCTGCTCCCTGTTTTAGCATTAGAAATGGTGGAATGAAAGGTATTGGTCCTACAGCAGCTTTGCAGAGTCTACATGCCAGAGTTTCCACTTCTAAACTATGAATTGGATACAAATCCTAATAATACAATCTGGAATACTTACACTGAAAATTTATTTTTATACAAAGCATTCATTTGGAATGCTTTTAACTAAATTTCTACTTGGAGCACTGACAGGAAAAAAGTAGCTATTCACTGAAAGCTACATACATGTCTTCTTTCTGTTGGTCAATGTACTACCCAGCAAAAACATGCAATAAAACCATAAGAAAGTAAAAACATATAACAAATACTATTAAAAAAAGAAAGAAATTAGCATATCAGTAAATTTTCAAACACTGCATTTGGATTCAGAAGTGACTAATTCAAGACAGTTTCTTGGACAATACATGTCAGCAAGAATTACACCTTCCTTACATACTTGTGCAGAGTCTCTTCACGAGAGAATAACTGTGAGACAAGACTAGAGGTCTGTCATTTGCAGCTGATCAGATTTGAGCAGTCTTATTTATAAATACACAACATATTACATCCAGTAGAATAACGCATATGTAACTTATTCCATGTATACAATCCCAATGAAACCTCTAACAAAAGATTCTTCCTGGGGCCTTGTTAATACAGCATTACAGACTGTTCTCTCACAAATGTGTGTATAAAAGTAAGTCCAAAATCTGCACATAAACCTGAAGGAAAAGGGGAAGTAATGAATTGAAACGTGCTATTTTCATCTTCATTTGTTAAAATCCCTGGACAGTTTCTCAAAGCTATCTTGAAACAAGGAGTAAGAGTAATGCTTCACACTTGGGTAGGTGTCTCATATCTCCAAAGAGGAGACAGAAAAAGTAGTATCACTGACTTCTGAGGCCACTGTTAAAGGACAAGATAGCTTTACAATGACAAGTGACTGAGCAGAAGGTTTAATTTTCAAGGGTTATTGTACTTTTTCCATTGATTATTTTGGTTGCATACTGTGTCTGGATAGTTGAAACATACAATTGATCAGCAGCCACGAGGATTTATGGCTACATCAGCTCATAGAGTGGCTGCAACATTTGTATTTTGTCACTGAGAAATTGAGATGTCTAGAAAGAAAACAAAGAATAAATTGAGTAGGGTTTTTGGCTTGGTGGAATATTTCTTATTTGTTTTGTTAAATTTATTTTTTTTTTAAGTCATAAATTAAAAACTTCACAGAGTTATGGATGCCTGAACTTTGTGTAGCGTAATGTCCGAGATGCTGCTGAAATGGATCAAGCTGATAGAAGTAAATTAAGCTACCAATATCTTAATGAAGAACATTTGATTAGGTCAAGCACTTGGTTTCTACCCACACCAATTCAGACTGCAATTATTTTAATAATTTATACTTAATAGTAATTTCTAATGAAGCCAAACATTATCTTTGGCCACTGCAATAGAAGTACCTACTCCTTGCAAATGTACATAAGACATTCAATTGAGTATCTTAAAATTCAATCTACTAAAAATAATTACACAATAAAACTTAGAAAGTTATAAATGAAATCTCTCAGCATAGTTCACAAGTTACTTGCAAGAATTTTATAAAAACAGTTTGCTATGTTTTACATCATATATCACACTTAGTTCCCAGTTCACAGCTTATCTGTAGTTAATGCTCTTAGCACACTGAAATATGATCATATGCATTAGTATTTTTAGTGTTTTGATGCAACTGCAAAGGTTACAAATGACAATCATACGACTTAGGTTTAGCTATGTAAAAGGCATCTAAGATCTTCCTTTTAAAATACATGAATATATGCAAGTAAATAGCTGTGAGTGTTGTGCATATGCAAAGTTTGCACACTAATACACACATAGATTCGCACTTCCACAGTACAGCTCTACTCATCTGAGCTTGCTTCAAGTGAGAAAATTCCTACATGCAAATGCTTGTTCAGAAGGCTTGCAGATTACTACTTTAGACATCTAATTTTACTCTTAATACACTGAGCTAAGACAAGACCCTAAACTAAGCAATCCTACCTTTCTACGGTATAGATGAACTAATATTTACCACTGAAGTTCCCCCTTAAGATTGCACGCATCTGCAGTGACATTTTGTTTGTGCTCATAACCATAAATGGAATAAAATTAAAATTAGGTTAAAACAACAACAAAAAATGCTTTATGAATCTTCATAACACAAACCTTTGATTGATATTTAAGTGTATAACTTCAGTACTCCAGCCAACACTGTCAAACATTGTAAGCACAAAAAATTACAACCACACACAGAGCAAAGCAGAGCAAAGGTGAACTTAATCTCCTCCCCAACACCATAAATAACTTGAATGACAACTTTTAACATAGTTAGGCTGCCTTTTGTGACATTGTGTATAATGTTCTAGACATCACCTTATTTTGTCTAACAACAATGCATATTACTGCATTTTATAAGCTCTGTTTATAAATTACTATGCATAGTATTATGTTTTAAATCTACTACTTTACCCTTAGAAAAACTGAGATTCTGGAGCTCTCATGACAGGTCATATTTTGGTGAGCATCCTTCTGGACATTATAGTTTGATTTCAATTACATATTGGTATAGTATAAAGAAAAAGTTTCTAACATAACATACCAGTACAAGTAGTTTGCCAATGTGGAATTTTTGCATGCCCGTGATATCAAGAAAGTGCAAAGGTCTTACTGGAATAGATTAAAGAAGAGAAAAAAAAAAAAAAAAAAAAATTACAAAGACATCTAAGCAAAATCTAAGCATCTGAGATCTGAGAGAGTGACAAAGTTAAGGAAAAACACTGAGTTTTAAACATAAGAGCTGTGAGAGATATATTTCCTTCTAAAATCTGAATCCAATCCCACTTAATATTAAAATCACAATAATTTAAATATTCCTTTAAATCCAGCAACACTACTGAAAGTTAAAGGTCCACTACTCCAATAATGTATTTACCAACTATAAGAAGCACATGATATTCTCCAAAAATAAACCTTTAATGTAATTTTTACTTATAATACGTTACTCTTTCTTCCTATGCAATTGCATCTTGCTGGAAATGCTGTAGCATTCAACTCCCAAAGAGATTTCCCACTCTGTTTTGTATGCAGAGCATCTAACAATCTTGAAGATGTTCTACATACAAAGAAAACAAATTTGTGTAAGATATACAGCATTTAGCTGCTTCTTTCAGATTTAATAGTCCAGGTAGTAAGAAATCCACGTATCTTTACTGATATACTCAATTTGAGGCTTATTTTCTATGCAGTAGTAAGACTCAAGACAATTTGCAACAGGGAATGGATCATTAGTTCAAAGACCAATTAATCTGCATATCAGATTAAAATCAGATTCCTTCAAAATGTCTTTACCTTCTATCTTTCCCTTCTACACCTCTACTTCTGGCATAAACTGAATGTCTTTAGCAGAAGTAAATCAACATAATGTCTCACTTAGGCTCAAAAAAAGATAACGTGACAAAGACTAAAGCTATAGAAAGAACAGATTGCAGAGACTGAAATATTTGGGTAACTGTTTTCTATTAAAAGACTGTTATAGAACACCTTGAACACATGCAGTTTTCAGTGTCTAATCAATATGTGATAGCCTTTGCTATCATATAATAATTTTCTCCTTTACAGAAGAATACTTTAATTTCAATTTCCAGTCCCCCAGCTTTGTATACTGTGATCATGGACATAAAGAGACATCCTGTAAAAAAAAAAAATCAGTTAAGCTATTGCTATTTTCTTAGCATTTACTTTAAATCTGTATTCTTTGGGCACTTTAAATATTCAGTAAGATTCACCAGAAGGATACAAATATTTACACACAAAGGCAAGAAACAGTACCAGGTCACTAGAAAAGTACAATAGATACAAAGTAAATTGTGCGACTTACATCAAGGTTTTCATTTTCTGCAAGCTCTTTTGTCTTAGAAGTAAGAGGTGGAGAGGAAACAGGTGGAATAGGACTCATAATCTGGGAACTACACAAAGGAAAGCATGCAATTGGTATGATTCAAAGTTCTTGCTTAGAGGCCAGGGAACATGCATGGAAATCACAATGAATTTCACTTCCACAGCATAATAAATTCAGAAAACTGGGAGAGTTTCTTTGCTACCTTTCTTTGAAGGTAGCATCTCAACCCTGTTTCAGAACAAACTGCATGAACAGCAACTTTGACAGCTGCAGTTCCTGAAAACAGCAAAAATCTGCGCCTAGAGAGCTATACAGTTTATGCTTGTGAAGGACATTCACTTAAACTTTGATTTTCTTACATCTTTCATTCAAAATAAGCAGACATAGATAGGAATTCAACAAATCTGCATTTTCAGGAGCTTTCTCAAATGTTCTAAGATGAAACTCCTAATACACAACACCTGCAAGCACTAGTCTTTGGAATGCAACTACACAGACTAGACAAACGCTTATTTGCAAGGCAAAGTTTTCAGATGGCAAATTTAGCTGAAAAGAAGTAATTAAATAGCTCTCCTAAGATCTAAGTATCATTGCAGCCTCAAAATACACCACCCTTCCCACAACACCCACTTTTATGGCTTTGCAGGAAGACAATGAAAAGCTGTAGAACTGTAATACAAAAAATACATCCGCGTGTTACAAATCATTAGAAGCTTAAGACTGAAAATACTGGAATTCTGTAACAAATGTTCACAGACGACTTTGGTTACCAAGTTTGTTTGCACTTTGCTTAATATTTTATTAGCTAACTCAGTCTTTCTTTTGGATTCCTGAAATATAAGTATGCTTCCTCAAGTCTCCCCTTACACTTTCTTTCATAAAAGGATGAAATTTCTTTTCACTTCAAATTGATTGGACTTTTAGATCCACATTCTGTGATGAAAGTGGGAAGTGGAACCTCATATAACTTCAGTGAAGACATCTTAACTTTTGCGAATACAGAAGGAAGCAACAGCAGTGTTTTTGCTGCTCTACAGAAGTTTTCTTCCTTTTGTGTAGTAAGAGCAAAAGCCATAACTTTAACATTGTTTGCTCTGTAAACTATGTGCAATCAGGACACATTTCATGAATGCTCACTATTTGTTAGGTTTGCTTTGATTCTTGGATTTTTTTAATGTTCAAATTATAAAATAGCATGAAGATTATACAAAGCTCCCCTAAAAAAATAAACAATTTGATGTCTTAGAATACTACATGTTTCTGCATTTCTGCTGAAGTCTAAGCTTCTTACCTGTCTATTTCTGGAGCATTAGATCCAGATGTTGTCATAGTTTCCGACATGGAACCTTGACTGTCCCTCTTGCTAGGCTCCAGGCCATTCTTAATGTCATCAAAATTTTCATATTTCAATGCTTGGACTAACTGTAGCAGGTACATCAGCAAATCCTTATGGAGGAAAAAAATCCAACAGAAATAAGGGTGTCAGTCAAAGCAAACTAGAACTCCTTCTGTTTACAAAATTCTAATTTACAGATAAACTTCATCAGGATTTAGTGACCGCTAATAACACAGAAACTGAAGTACCCCTAAACAAGCAATATACCATAGCAACACTGGAGTTGGACGCATTTTGACTCCCAAATGATACTGAATTATCATTCTACTATTCTTTGTTACTCAAAGATAGTAAGTGCTAATTTAGTGAATATGCAAGTGTAATTACTATGTTTAAATTCTGTTTAGTTAAGCTGCCCTAATTGCTTCCAGCATTCACTGAATAAAGCTTTCAATTTGTGTCTCAAAAGAAGAAAACCAAAAATTCAAGCATAATTTGGACTATAGTATCAAGAATGGAGAATCTCTCTTCTCTTATGGACTATTTTTTTTATCCTTTGTGTAGCTGGGGATCTAACGGAAAAAAACACATATCAAATCTGTTTTAGATTAAAGAACAGATTTTTAACCACTTGCTGTTTAAAATAATCTTGTTGCATTTACTCTTCAACTTCTTCTGTTTACTTACCTTCTAGTACTTTGCAAAAGGTACATTTTTAATGTCAAAGCAGTATGACCTAGGCTATTAAAGTAGGCTTGAAAAAATATTATATACTTATGGTCCTTATTTTAAACTCTATTGATTGCCAAAGATTCAAAAGTTATGGTAATACATGCAAAGCTGGGTTTGCTTTTTTTTTAACTGTCAAAATAAAATATATAATATATAAATCATAAAAAAATATAAAACATAAAAAATAAACATAAAAACATAAAAAATAAAAATATAATAATAAAAAATATAAAAACATAAAAAATTAAAAAATATAAAACATAAATAAAATATATAAATCATTGATATTTAACATATTAGATTCTTTTAAGTAGTTCTATTCATAATCACAGCTCATCACATTCTAATCAGTATACAATTACAAAGACCTCATTTCCACAGACAATCTTCTACTCATTTTCTTCAGCAAAAGAGTATGATTATATACTGAGTTCAACAGATGGATGTGCTGAAAATCCTTTTATTGACTATTTAAGATCAGAGCACTTCCACAAGTTGACACTCAAAATTTATCACTGGTTTTTGGTGAGTGTGTACTGCTGTTTTACCTTGTTTAACAAAACCAGCTACTAGTGGCAGTTCATACTAAGACAATTATCAATGTGTGACACTTAACAATGCAAACACTGCTCCCCAAATACCTTACAATAAATAGCAACACAGTGAATCATCTTTTGTTTTCCACCAATATTCACAAAAATGTCATAAGAAGTAGCAAACATTTCAAGGACTCAATGAGATGAAAAGTCCTGAGACCAGCTGACTTTTTCATGTACCAACAGACCAGTGAATACCTCATCATCAGCCTGCTGAAGCCTGGCAACAGCATAGCGCCGCACCGTTGGGTTGGTAAAGTGAGATGACAGAAGCTCCAGAGAGTCTTCCACATCCATGGGCTTCCATTTGCCCAGCAGTTCCAGTGCTTGCTTTGCCTCCTGTGGTAGATCCCAGTTGACACACTTCAGGAACTTTGTCAAGGCCTAAATAGGAGATTGGACAATTCATCAGTAGAAAGCTAGAAAAAGGAAATTATTTTAAAAATTAATGTCTCACACAAAGGAAGAACTAGATTCAGATTATATTTACATAAGCACAGACCTGGAAAAGCTTACTGATCTAAGTGACAAGATCCCTTCCAGCCCAAACCATTTAACAACTCAACTCACCTTCTCCTGATGAGTAAGGTAATATCTGAATTTCCACACCAAATCCTGTTCCTCATACGTTAGTTGCTTTGTTGGTGGATAACTCACTATGATCTATTTGAAACATAGTCAGAAAGTGAGTTTAAAAACATGAACAGGCATAATCAACAAGTTAACAAAGTATACTGTGAGAAAGCACAACACTGACAACACAATAATAGCTAGGGGAAAAAAAAAAGCTTTCCAACAACACAAAGCTATGGTATCATGGTGATGCTTCTCAGTAACAAGTAGATTGATTTGACAGTGCAGGCAAACACAGTTGCTTTAAGTGTATCACTCACACCTACATGGCATACACAACATACACATTCTTAACCCCTCTAAATGGTTAAAAAAAAAAAAAAAACAAGCACCTTGTATTCCTTTCTGAGTTGGGCTCTTCTATCTAAATACTCTGAAACATTTAATTAATGATTTTCTATAAACTGAAATTAACTGTATTTTCCTTAAGCTGTTACCATATATGATTACCAACCTACCTACTAAAATTGAACTTAGTCATCATATGACTGACTTACATTAAGCTGGTCTCGTGTAGTTGCATTAGGCTTCAGGTCATGATCAGAAGGTCCACTTCTTAAACTTCGAGCAAGTTTGTGATGTTTGCTCTCTACTAAGTTCTCCTAAACACAGAGGGTTAAGTCAGTATTTATAAATACTAAATTTCAGAGAAAATTATTATTGAAACAAAACCATCCAGAGAAGACTCGTCAGTCTCTTGAAAAATGCATGGAAATGAAAATTTAAATCTGAAACTTCTGGCTTTTTTTGTTTGCTTATTTTACAAAAAAAAAAACCTCCTTTAATATATGGAGGGCTGTTGGGAGTTTTGATGGTCTGTTTCAGTTTATGACTTAGCATTAACAAACCCTACCTTGCCTTTCAGTGAATTGCTGCAAAATGTAAGCATTTCAGTCAACACATCCATGATTGACAGCACTCAAACGTACTAGACACTTCATAAACATTTTCTTTAGGATGATGTTTGCAGCATAAAGCTTTGTATGCAAGAAAAAACATCTCAAAAACTGGTCCCACTGTTAATACCATGTTAGCAACAGTAGGAGCCACAATAGGAGCCACAGTGCCAACAAGTTTTCAGCAGCCAAGGCAGTTTCCAGCATTGTCAGACTTGCTATTGCAGTGTTAGATTACACAGTGCTCAAACAGTGTTGCCAGTACAAGCCCACTTACATTAAGGTTCCCAAAGCTGCCAATACCAGTCCCACTGAATTGGCATCCACAATAATGGAAATCTTTTCTAGAACTGTACTTAGGCACTGTCTACATGACAAACAACATACAAGAGAGTGTAGGGAGAAAATAATTTAACAGAGGAAGTGACCAAGAATTATTGCACCAGTCTCTAAATTCTGCATTCCTCTTCTTCAGCTCCATCTTATCTTCCCACCCTCTGACCTCTTTTGCCAACAATCCCCCTTCCTCTGCTTTCTCACACCTCAGAAGCAAGCACATTGTGCATGGAAAGGAGGAGGTGAACATAAGCATTAAATCAATACTTGTATTTTAATCTAGAAGCAGCAGAAATAGAAAAAAAAATACAAAATTCAAACCTCCTGATATTTCTCAACTGGTTAAATATATCTTGTCACTGGAATTTTAAAATATTTAAGATGGCAAGCTTTCATCTACATTTATGAAAAGTTCAACAGTAACTCTGTAATACAGGTGGCACCAGATGTAGCATGCTTACCATAGACATCTGAGGATCTGGAATCTTAACAATTTCAGGACTTGTTAAAACTGGAGATGACTCATCACCATCCTGAATGACAAAAAGTTAGAGGCATATTAAACATCTCAAGTTTTAGGGAAACAATGTATCATATTCATGCATTATGAACTCTAGTACAGTAGAAGAATGATTCAACTGCCAACACTTTTAAGGGGAAAAAATAAAATAAACAAATTATTTTTCTTGTCTTTTTCCCAGATGAAAAATGATTTGGCAAGACAGCTGAAGTTCACCAGAGGAGACACAGTTTGACAGCTCACTACTATTATGCACACAGATGAGTGGAGAAATTTGCCACCATTGTCATGCGTCCTCTAGAAGCATGAAGAGAAACAAAATCAGACTCTGTATTTCCACAAAACCCACAGTTTTCTAGAAAAAAATCACCATGTTGCAGAAATCAGACATATTAACTGAAAAACGAAAGTTTTCAGACTGGTAAAAGTGGAACATTTACCCCACAATTAGAAGTCTGTGTCAAACATTAAAAATTCAAAACTCACCAGGATGAGAATGCCAAAAGCACTATTGTCTAAAATTTGCTTACTTACAAAACAAACAAACAAAAAAAGTGCAAAGCCCTACAGTGTGTCATGTCAAAATGTTTATAAATGAAGGTTAAGGAGTTTTTTTTCCAAGACTAATGTTAAAAGAATTATTTGTGCACTCATTGCTGGCAACTCTTTTTGGAACCTTTCAAAAGAGTCATGAAAATGACTGCTTATTTTAAACTCTTTGAATGTAGTCAGATCATGCTGCAGAGTGAAGCTGACAAGTTCTAGCTAATCAGTTCAAGTGCCAGGAAAGCCATTCCCAGGGTTATACTGCATGACAGAACAAAGCCTGAAGCTCAACCAAAACCAGCCATGAAATCAAGTTTTTCCAAGAATTCATGGGACAAGTTATGGTGTCAGGAGCAAGAATTTTGAAACAGATTGTTTAATGAAATACTCAAGATGGTACAATGACATTACCTGTCCTGTGGACGAAGTCAACTGTTTAACTACCCCTCTGTAATTCTCCATTATACCTTGAGAGCAACATGTACAGTGCCACAACCCTGACCATACAAACTTACTAAACCAAACCAGTGTCTAAATTAGCACTTGAATTTGGCCAAGGGTATCCTTTTGAAGTGCCTTTCATGGTCATGCCCATATAGACACCTTTAGTTCACATCATGGAAATCTCAGAAATCCCCAACATCTTCTAACTGCCAACAACCACATGGGATGTGATAACAGACAGACCAGAGCACAAGAACAGGGTGCAGACACTGGGCCTTCAGCAGCCTCTTCCCTCAGTGAATCTGCTCCTCTTGGCTGCAACACTTCCTAGCACAGGCAGAGCCTGCTATTTTGCCACCAGGAAACAAAAGCAACATCAATACCAAACAGCACTGACCTGCTTTAAACTGCTGTGTTACAGAGCTCTGAAGATATTTCACTACAATAAGATCAGTGTGTGTGACTTTATATTAGAGTCCATTTAAGACAGTCCACAGAATTTGCAAAATTTTCTGAACCAGCAACATTCCTCTATACTTGCTTGAAAATCAATTTCATAGCATAAATAAATAAGGAGGTTCTATTTATTTTTTAACCAAAACACCATTTAAAGTAACACCAATGTGAAACAACATCTCTTCAAAAAAAAAAAAAAAAGACAGACAACCAGTGGTGTAGACACTACTTCTTCTATTTCTACTTTAAGTTTATTAAATCCATGAAAAGATATCTGATAATCAAATTTATTTATCTTTTTTAATAAACTGGATGCAGCGGTGCAATCATTTACCCAAAATGTGACATGTTTCACTTGAAACCTGCACAAAAATACATTAGTGATAAATGCTGGTGTTATGTTGGTGAGTTACACAGAACTTCTACCTAAATGGAGAATCAAAAGTGATGTTTTCACTGCTAGCAGACCCTATTCCTCACGTCTCGAGCACTGTATTTAAATGAAGTTAACACAGAACATGGAAAGAGACACTGCCACCTCCCTTCATTGTAACTGAATGTCGAGTCAAAGAACCCCAAATCCTATCAATCGCTGTTTAACAGGCTAGTTCTTCCTAAACACTTGAAAACAAATATATCAACAAAACTGTGACAAGTAATCTCCACTTTGACTATCGGTCACAGGCAGGTGACAACAGAACCTTCTTTCATTATGCTTGGTGCACTGGATTGGTGATGCCCAATACACAGACTGCAGACTGTAATTGGAAGCATGACAAAACTGAGAAAACAGGCATTAATTTATGTACCATTTTCTACTGCTGTCAGAAAAGGGTCAAGAACTTGTTGGAAAGCTACTTTGTAACAACAAATCCTTGAAACTGCAGTTAGTTACAGCTCTAACATGTACTATTACATATTCAATTACTTTATTTCCACATGAGCAGCCAATTCATAGGTATTCTGCTCCATGCACTTTTAATATGCTTCAGAAACATCTGTTAAAAGAAAGATACATGCTTGGAGTCTGAATCTTCTTTCCTGCACCGTGCACATCTATAAAACCACTATGATGGAAAAACAAGAAGTCATGTGTGCAAATCAGGAATAATTCATCTATAATGGCAGGTTGCTGGATGTAATGGAGAGAAGTCATTTTTAGGAACAACAAGTTCATTTATAAAAAGAAAAGAGCCAAGAGGACACAATGTCACATCCTCAAATGTTTGTACCTGTGAAAGGTATAGCATGTTCTCATGTAAAGATCTACCTGTTAGTAAAAAAATTTCAATATTTTGATCATATTCTGTTATGCTCTCCAGACAAGTATTTCCTTTATTTCCACAGAAGTAAATAATGTTATGTTCATGGGGAAATCTGACACATTGTAGGTTACATTGTGATTTGTAACACAAGATAGTTTTGCAACAGCACAGTCCTCTATAATTTGCTAGTTCTAGGATAAGTGTACAGAAGCACTGTAAGAAAACCTATTCTAAAGGCAATAAGATCTGAAACGTGTGGAGAGGTCTTACTGTCAATTACAGTCCCCAAAAAGATATGCTAAACAGCTAACCTAGACACCTGCGTAAGACCCACTTTCATCCATTTTACCAAAATTCACCAAGAAACTAAAGTAAAAGAAAAAGTCACAAAAAGAACAAAAAGAAAATCAAACCAACCATCCCCCACCATAAAACCCACCAGAAATCTCCAAATGAACACTGCCCTCAGAAAATACTCCTGAAGGCTAAAAAACTCCAAGTCTTAACTTGCACTATATCAAATAGTTGAAGCAGATTCTGACCTGTTTTCTCTTTTTTTTTCCTAATCCTGCTTTTTGCTATTTATTACTGTATTTTTCAATGCCTTATTCAAGAATTTTAAGTTAGATCATAGCTCTTTTGGGCCAGACCAACCAGTAATAGCCATATACACCAAAATACTCATAATCCATTTTCCATTATGTTAAAAGTTTGTGTAATGAATTAAGTCTTTCAAAAGTCTCAGAATAAATGCTGCTTAAAGTTAGTGCCTCTGGTCTCAAAAGCACTAGTTTTGTTTTTTTTTCCTACCTTCTATCTCTTTCCAATAAAGCTGCACTATTCAGTAACTTTCTGACTTCTTAGGAATCTAAACACAATGAAAAATCTAAGAGACAATTTTATTTGAAATCAGATTGTGGATACACTGTTTTTTCCATCTCAGTGGGTCTTTCCAGAATACATAGAGTGATAATGCCTTCCAATACCACACTGATATCTGGTAAGCTCACTGTCAATGCTTCATCCAATTAAATTTTGACTTTAGAAAAATACTGAAGGCATTAGTCTGCATATCTGTTTAATAAACAGCAAGGAAAGATGCAAGACATTCCAATCTAGAAGTCTTTTACTTAATTACTCCAGAGCATTTTCAGTATTGAAGACTAAACTTCTATATTTGTTCATTTTACAGAAAATGTTCACCAGCAGAGCTTCTGTGCAAAATTTTAATAACTCATCTTCTATAAAGTTACCACTCAATACAGGTATATATCCTCTGGATCTAAGTCATAATTTTACATACATACACTTGGAAAGTACTGCTGGATGATTGAAGGAAATACAAATCAGAAAGTTTTTAATCACTCACACTTGTTAAATTCTGTAATCTTGAGCTCTATTACACAAATGACTGACATCTGCAATCATGTTGCATCTATACTATTTGATTTGTATATGCATAAACAGTTGCCACTGACAGCTGTCTGCTGCTCTACTGCAGCAGAATATTTCATCTCAGCAGAAAAACCCATTCATTTTAGGTACATATGCTGCTTTTTAAAGACAACCATAAAGCCTGCAGGGTACATACCTTTTCATAGTAAACTATTCCATATTCTTTATCATCGCACTTGACGCAACGGAATTCAATCATCAGGTACATAAAATTGGAGCTTCGTTTTTCCCTCTGAGGAAAGAGCCACCACAGATGTGTATCATTTTTTGCAGGACATCAATCTTCAGCATTCTCAGTACACCAATTACCCTACTTCCTTTGTGCTGTAACTAATTAATTAGGTTATCAGCTATTACAGTAATTATTTAGTTAATCATTTCATAGAACTACTTGAGACCATATCACCTCCTTCCTGACATTCTTACTACTTCACATTCCCACTTCATGATACATATTCACATTTAACAGATGAAAACCTGTTTTATCAGCAGCTTCCAGCTGTGAGTTAAAGGTATAAAAAAATGCAAGGCAGAATAATCAGATGACCAGTGGGTAGTTGCTGTTTGCTTTTTTTGTTGAAATCATTACCTATAATTATGCACATCAAATTAAAAAACAGAATATTGAGAAAAAACAATCATTTCTTAAAACCAAGACCATAAAAATAATAAACAGACAACAACACCATAAAACAGAATAAACTTGAACTACAAGATTAGATTTGCAGCTTATTCATCTTCAGTGGAAGATTTGCTCACATGTTCATTTTTTAAATGCTTTACCTATAAAAAGTGCCCAGAACTTTAAAATCTGGGTTAGAAAAAAGAAAAAAGTTTAATACTGAGTAATTTCAGTTCACTTAATGCATTCATAATAGCTTGCCCTTCCATCATAGATAGAGTGGTTCTCTGTTTAAAGCACAGTTCTAAAAACTTTTATTCCACTGTACTGTCAGTGACGGAGAAAAAACTAAAGGAAAAAATGGGATAAAAAAGATGATAGGCTAATTTCTAAAAAACACTGAAATATTTATAGGGGGCTTATATAACCACAGATTTTAGTTAAAAAAACAATCTGATTTCCAAAGCTCTAGTTACCAATAAGAGAAAAAAAATCTCAGGGCAAAGAAAAAACAGAGTTCTTTGGTGCAAGATGAATATAACAAATGTAACAGTTTGAGCTGATTTTGATCAATAAGGGTTAAAATTTCATTTAAAAATTAAACTACTAGATTATTTTATTTTTTTTAAATATTTGTTCAAAATTACAAATGTCTTTTTTTCTGCATCCAAAGTTAAAAAAATAAAATTTAACAGGTCTGAAGCCAAGGAACAGGTCAAATGTCTAAGAAGCTCCCCATCACAACCTAAAATCCTACAGGTAAGTTACTCATGCCTAAAAGTGTTTGTTCCCAGCTGCTCCAAATTATTAATAAAGCCCGTTTTCTGTGATCAAGTTCACTTGAAGTTGAAAACAGCTAAGACAGCTATGCACCGTGGATGAAATGCTGGACATAAGCTACCTTGTGCACTGGTTGTCCCAAAACCACCTCTGTGCTGAGCTGCTCCTCAGAAAGGTGGGCAGCAGGTCACAGGAGGGGACTCTGCCCCTCTGCACTGTGAGACCTCACCTGCAGAGCTGCATCCACCTCAAGACAAAAAATATGTGGACCTGATGGAGGGAGTCCAGGAGGCCACTAAGATGCCCCAGGGGTAAAAGCAAAAAGGTACCTCTGCTTTTGAGACAGGCTGGAAGAACTGGGGTTGTTCAGCCTGGAGGAGGGCTTTAGAGGCCCTTCCAGTGCATAAAGGAGACCTGCAGGAGAGCTGGAGAGGGACTTTAGAAAAGGGCACGGAGTTAGAATACTTTACTGTGAGAGTGCTGAGGCTGCAGCATAGGTTGTCCAGAGAGATGGTAGAAACCTCATCTCCAAAAACATTCAAGGTCAGCCTGGAAAGGGCCCAGAGTATCATGATCCAATTGAAGATATCCCTGCTCATTGCAGAGGGGTTGGACTAGATGGTCTTTAAAGGTCCTTTCCAAACCAATCTATTCTGCGATCCTGATTATTGCTGAAATAAATCCAACTTTAAGCTTCCAAATAATTACTTTTTCCTTTACCATTTGCACTGGCAGTTGAAGGAAATAACTTGGTTAAGCAGTTAAGAGCTAAGTCTCTTAAAGAAGCAAAGATTTATATTAGCATGATAAAACCCCCAAAATTCCAAACCTGACCCTACAATGACTCACCTCATTGATCATTTCTATTTCTCTAAAGGTGAGTCTGTCCAGCCAATCCACTTTCACCATGTGACCCTGCCGATGAGACTTGGTGAGCTGCATGAAAAAACAACAATGACAGCATTTAAATTGCTCAGAGCAAGAAAAAGAACACCAAAGTTATAACAGAGATACTAATACGAAATGCGATTAAAAAAATAAAGGAACTGAAAAAACTGTATTCACCTTGGATAGCATACACATGGTAACATAGTACACACCTTGTAAACAGCCAAACCATACCCTAAAAATAAGTCTACTATCTAAAATATCAATCTCAGCAAAGACACTAATAATTATCCAAACACTTCACCTTTGCATTTTAAACACAGCAAAGCCAGGAACTTGCTTCTTAACTAAAGTCACGTAAAAAAGATATCCCATTTTTTTGTATTACTATGTTTCATATAGTGAAACTCACCAAGCCAAACAAAAAGAAAGTATCACTGGCATTATAACTGGGTCAACTAAAGATCTCAGAGTAAGTCATAGACAACTTGCTCTCTCTTTTAGTCATCTGATAACCAGCTCAAGTTTTATTCCTATGTCTATAAACTGCTGTAGCAATAGCAAAAAAGTTGTTTAAAGTACTCCTTAAGAATGGAAGACAAGACGAGAGCATACTGCTTGTAGTTTTAGATACACCAACGCAATTTTTGATGAAACATCCAGCAGAAGACCACACAAATATGAAGACTGCCTTTTCAGCTGCTAAGAAATAACAAGTGTTCTTCAAAAAATTCAATAATTATTGCAGAATGCAAGAGATGCAGAGGGACTAGAAAATGTGAAGTTACTTCATCTCTCAAAGAAATTAGTATCTGTCTAGAAAATGGCTAGCAAAGAGACCCCTCAAAATTATTGTTATTAAGGGAAAGGTTGCAACCATGATTTCATTAACTTTGTTCTGTGGTCAGCCAGCCCACCCATGAGCATCTGGATGTGAACAGGCTATACAGTGGCACCAACTGTCACTTCTTGCCCTAAGGGACAGGCAATACAAAGACCTAGGACAGCAGGAATGAAGGTACTGGATGCAGGAGAACAGCAGTCTGCTGCTTCCATGTAGAACTGGAGATGGTATTAGTACAGAAAAACAACACAGAAGATTTAAGTCTAGGGATACACAGGTAGATGTCCAGGTTGCACAATCTGTCAGATATGTGCACTAGACCTTCCATAGCTCAACACTAGAGAGACACTAAAAATAAAAGTCACTATGAAGATAGAGAAGTGAAGAGTTTGCACCAATTTTACTGATTCATTATTCTCTCTCAAATCCTCACTAAACTGGTATCTTACAGAATAAGTATGTTGGGCTAAAGTTTCTGTAATCAAAGTCTTGGAGGAGAAAACTTGTTCACAAATTCTTAATTCATTTTTTATTTACTGCACTAGAGAATAAAAAAAAATGAAGTTATTTTGTGTGTTTCAGAAGAAAATTATTAATATTATAAACCTTTAAACCTTCCTTATGGAGGAAAAAAGTTGTAATACAGCAATTAATTAGGTCTTGCATACAAGACCTGGAAGATCTGTCAGCATATAAATACACATGAAGAACTGCTGTATTTAACTAATATTTACAGTTTAAAATAAGAGAGAAGCTAGTATCCCTCTCAGAGAAAGGCACATTCGCCATTTGCTACTAAGTAAGATGTATCCCTTTAGATAGTATCTAAACATTATTATTATCTAATTTCATTTAGCCAGCAGAAAGTGTGAGGGAAATGAATGGATCAAAAAGAACTTAAGAGTACTTTAAGTAGAATAAATTAACACACAATTCATGGGAAAAACCTTTTGATATCATTCATGTTGGTGATGCTAAAATACTCTTCCCATTAGTATTCCTCAGTACACAAAAAATCTGCATTCGTAATGCCTCTAGAATGCAACACCATGGTTTTTTTTCATCAGTAGCAGTTTTACTAGCAACATTCACATGTTTTGTGAGAGCACAACCATACAGCACCTCAACATGAAAGGGGAGACTTGCCACAGTATCTGTTTGTAAGGTAAGGTAAAATTCCTTGACCACCTAGTCACTGGTTTCATAAAAAATTCAATGTGACAATAACAAAAAACATGCAGACAAGCTCAGAAGCATGTCAAGAAAGGAGTTATCTTTTAGATGGAGAAAAGACCCTTCATAAGGTCTTCTCCAAAGTCACCCGTTATCTGGAAGATTCTAGTTTGGGCTCTGGTACCAGATATCAATCAATAGCATAATACTGGGCAAATATGTTCAATAAACAGAAAAAAACCCAAACCAAGAACAACAAAACCCACACAAACTTGCCATGTATGTACCTAAGTCCTAGTCCTTTTACCTATATTTAAATATACCTTCACACAGAGTAGCATGAGAAGGCATTCAGAAACTGATGAATAAATTACAGAAGAACTGAAGCAGATTATGTTTGAACAATGGCTACTTAGGAGTGACACATCACAAGAACCTCCTCTGCTATGTAAACAGCTATGCAAATGAAAGCTCCCATAGACACACTACCCAAAAACCCTAATTTCCCAAGCATCTGGTGAAAAATGGTTTTATAAAAAGGACCACAAAATATCAGTGAAAACACTCCTCTTTCAGAAATTGCCATCTCCCAAAACAGCTTTCAGAAGAATGGGGGCAATGATGTTATTAGCTTTCTATTAGCCATTAACTACAACTCTCAGATAGGATGTGAAGAATTCCCTCGTATTCCTCAGAGGCTGTGGGTCATCATCTTCCAAATGCCAAAACAACAGGCTAAAACAGAATGAGCTATTTTAAGACTGAAGTACTCTATTTTATTTGTGCTTTTTGAGCTAGAGAGAGTGAATGGTAATGTCTGTACAACAGAACTAACATGAAAGGCATGGCCTACACTCTCTAAGCCTTTCTCAGAAACCCATGGCATCCATCATATAACCGTGTCATGAATTGGAAATAAGACTTGGTATTTATTGCCTCTCTACAGAGATTCCTTAGGCCAGAGGGCAGTTATTCTACTATGATTAAGAAATGGGCCACCACTGGCTTTAATGAGCTTTCCATTATAAATTCAGTACAAACTATACTAATAAAACAGAGACCCCTTAAATGAAAGTTAGTTTACCACTGTCATAAATCTCTAGATGAGAAAATGGTTCTATCTTTCATTGGGAGTCCCACAAAGGTCTCCATAAAACTGGGAGACCAAGATTAAAAAGAAACTCACTGAATAAGCATACTGGAGCAGTCTGGAAAGCTTGGGGTAAGCTTACCTGAATAGTCAGAGATCATCTAGTAAAACAGCCCAGTAACTAACACACTCTGACCAATTGCAGTAGTTTTGATGGCGAGAATATACTCTGTCATCAAAACTTGCAGGCAAAAATACTAATATACATATTAGTGAGCTTAAATTAATGAAATTTGGGTTAATTTCTGCAGTCCTATTCAAGTTCTTTCTAATGTACAGGTATGACACACTTCTGAACACTACACCAGACAGCCTCAAAGACAATGGATGCCTTCTGAAAGAAACCTGACTGTCCTCACAAGTCACTGTTAGGAGAGGCTTTTAAACCTGATAGAATTTTGGCTTTAAGCATCTTCAAGGCATATTCATATTTTCATTCTTTACAAAAAATTTAGCTCTTAGGTTCTTCCAACAGAATGTTATGTGTAAAAGAAAGATTTTTAAAAAAAACACTTCAGAAGCAATTACATATGATCTGCTTTACTCCTTTGTATAAATCCTGTGAAAAACCTAAATAACCAAATGAAGAGAGCTATCATGTGAGAAAACAGCACTGGGAGCTGTCTTCATTTCTCTCCAGTGAAGTGCATGCCTGTCACATACATTTTAAAGGTTACTTGCTATTCCATTACCTTTGCCAAGCGGCTCATTTGATCTTCAGAGACTGTACTGCTGGTTCTCCCAGGTGTTTTGGTGGGCTCGGAGCCATCAGCTTCTACATTGGGCCAGACTTTCAAGTCATGCATTCCTTGTCGAAACATACTGCATGGAAAAATGCAGAATCACTTCAGTAAATTCAAAATAATACAGCTGTCAGGAATCAAAGTTGAGCAGCAGCTGCAAGAAAATGAAGTTGCTTCCTTTGCCAAAGCTACAAAATTGCATAATTTAACTCTACTGTATAAGTGCCTTGCACCTTGTGTTCTCTACAACCTTTATTTTACTGGCACATGGAGTTTAGAAGAAAATTGTGAAGTCAGAGGTAACTTACCTGGCAAGTGGAAGAAAAATGGGTAAATCCCAAAGTCAGTGGGGTGGTACAAACACAAACTGAGGAGAAAGCTCAACTTTCATTGTTTCATTATTTGTAATGAAGCAGAAAGTATTGTATTCCTCTTGACTTGCAAATTGTAACAAGTAACCCCACATCTGCCACTATGAAAAAAATCAACTAAAATACGACCTAAGTTGCATTTGAAGGTCAATGGCTATAAAGCAGCCTTCTGAGCTGCCAAATAATTAAAAAAAAACCAAACAAAACAAAACAAAAACCCAACCCAAAAAAAACCCCAAAAACACACCAAGAAAAAGAATGCCACAACTCGCCACATACCACTTTCTCCACCAGTGTCTGAAACTGAATTTAAAATTGAAAGTGTGGAATGAACAGAACTTTTCAGGGTAACTGACCACATCTTTTCTCTGCAAAACCCTGCTTACCTTGCACATTTGTGCGGATCCACCCATAAAAAATGCCCCAAGAAATCAAGTGTGTTCATTACCTTTGTAAATAACAGGTGATCACTTAACTCTAAAAACTTCAGGTAAATACAACCAACAGGAACATTTTTAAAAGTGAACCATTAAAACTGAGAAACAACAATTAGAAAGACCATCTGACTTTTAATTTATACATCACTTCATGAAGTATTATTACTAGGGTTTTCTTTTAAAAACTACAAAATTCAAAATTTTTTGTTGGTTTCTCTCAATCTACTTCATTCAAGTTCCACATGCTGGAAGTAAGACTTATATTATTTTTATCTTTTTCCAGGTACTGTGCTTTAATGCTTTTATAGCTACCAGCAGTCTTTGGGGCACAGTCCAATTGATCAGGTTCAATTTTTTGCCTTAAGGCAATGTCATCCTTTTTCGTTAAAGCCGTATCTTCAATGAGAGGGATACAACTTCTCTCTACAGTCACTTCGTGCATTCAAGCACCATTAGAACAGCTTTCCTAATGATAATCTAAACTTTTCCTGCACTTCAGTCTAACCTTATTACTTCTCATCCACTAGCAAAACAAAACAGGCTATTTCTCCCTTTTTCCAGCAGTATATACATACTAGAAAAATATTCCTACATTCTTTTTTTCAGCCTGACTAGGCATTAACACTTCCTCCATCACACCTATTTGCTAGACATTCAATGATACAGACTCCCAGCAGTCTGAAATTTGACAGAAGCTGGTTAGAAAGAACGGAATACACACCATCTGAGTGGAAAAGGACAAGAAAAGAAATGGGTACGGAAATGTCTCCTATGCACATACTTGTAAACTATTTATGTAGTCAATGTTGTTCACACATTTTATACGGGCACCATGATGCTGAAACACACAAAATTTAAGATTCACTGTAAACTACAAGTCTGTTCCTCTCTTTCCCTGGGCAGCTACTCCCCACTCTGTATGTGATAACAATCAATTACAAAAAAGTACCTATGCCTCTTAATCCTCCTTAGACCACAACCTGTTTTTTCAGTCTCCTTTGCACTTAGATAAGATTCTTCTGGGGTATTGTTCACCTCACAGATTATTATTGTAATCCTTCCCACCTTAGTCATACTATCCACAAATTTACTGAACATATCTTCTATAAGATCATAGCATATTAACTTTGAAAAGTGCTGATTTACTGAGTGACATTTTACTCCCTATCAATAACAGGGCATTCACAGTCTAATTGCAAGCCAATTAATTTTTTTAAAGTAATCACTACTGCTATCCAAGCAGTACCAGGCTGTAGAGGTGAAGTGATTTCAGCACTTGCCATCTTAAAATCCAAGTTTGCAGATCATTAAAAAAAATAAAAAAGATGTTATACAGAAGACTTCTCTTATACAGCACTGTAGCAAATGTGAAATTAGACTCAGGAATAATCAGGAGCAAATCATCTTTGTGTCTGATTTTTCAAACATGGAACTGTTAACCTAGTTTAGAAAATATTAAAAACTTATCTCTCACAACCTATCCTAGATTACTATTCACAGGTGAGCTTTAAATGTGTACCAGAGAAGAAAAAGCAGTATACCCATATTTTCCGAAGAGTGAGACCGTTGTTCCTCCCACAGGAACAGCTTTACCGGGTCCATACACATCCCAGATGGTCAGAGCCACCTGAGCATTTCGAGGCAAGTCTGGATACTTCACAGGCAGTTTCAGCCACTCGTTCCAGCTGCAGAGAAACACTATTTATCAGTCATAAAGCCTTACAATTCAAGTTACTCTCTATTAGTTTACACAACCCAGATTTTCCTCAGAATAAAAACTTCTTAGGGCAAATGTACTATTTTCCTGGGGGCTTTAACCATTCTAACACATGTCTGGAGCATGACTAAAAGGCTACAGAACAAAACAAAAATATTCCGCCTTAATGATTGAGTAGCGAGGATCAGGCCGCCAGTGAACAGCATTAAAATGTATCATTCCAGCCCCAGAAGTTACATAAAGTAGGATTACATGGCCAGGCACACAAGTAACATTTTATCACTTACCCCTTACACAAAAAGGTTGCTTTTGTGCTGGCTGGATATATACACTACCCATATGGACACTTGAAGAAACATAAGCCACTTTGTAGAAGATGACAGAAAACAAATCTTTCTGACAGGAACAAATACTTGATGCCCCACTAACTAAGAAGAGTATGAAATAAAACGCAAGGCACTTACTTCCATCTAGTGCTAAAAGCCTTGTAGGAAGTTCTAATTGGAAGAGCAAGCGGCTTCCCCTCTGCGAACACCTGACAAGTTACATACAAGTCAGAGCAAGTCTCTTGGTACAGTCCCGAGAACTTCAGCATTGGATCTTCTAGGAGAGCTTTGTAGCTTTTCTGCTCCCTTTTCCCTTCCAGACTTCCTCTAAGGGGGAAAGGGCAGAGGAGGAGGAAAAGAAGAAAACATATGTAAATTGTAACTTACTCTTTTCGTAGTAGAAATCCTATTGCCTTTCCATGGCTTATATTTAGATTACTGAGCATTGAGGCTATTCTCAGTTTGCATTACTGCTTGTAGTGAAATCCAAACACCAGAGAGGAACTCAGGATGTGAAATGCTGAGCAAACATGGAATGTATTGCAGTACTGATTTAGGCAGGGGTGAGGGGAAGAGCAGGGAAAGCAAGAATTACTTGTTTGTCTTTTAAACTGAGGTAACTTCTAGTACAACCAGTGGATTCTCATACAGACCTTAAGTAGGGCAACATACATACAAGACATACACTGCTATTATTAAAATAGACAAAACAAACATGAGATTACATGTACTCCAAACACTACTGGAAAAATAAAACCCAAAACAACTATGGTAAGTAAATTTTTAAGATCTATGAAATGTATGACTGGTTTTGGAAGTCAAGCATCTCTCAAATCCACAAAAAAAAAAAAAAAAGTCCATTTCAAATAAAATTTGGTTAAAGCTTTGCAGCACTTTGCACAATGTTACTGTTAAGAGGAATTGATGGAATTTCTCAGACTTCAGCTATACCATAATTAAAACAGTCATGCACATTAGATATGCACATGCACATTAGATATCTGTCTGTGGATTCACAAGTTAAAACAAAACAAAAACTGAGATGATGGTGATGGGAAAACATGTAAGATCAGTCCTCCACCAAACAAAAACTTACTTGTTTCCACAAAACCATTTCAGAGTAAATAAACAAGTTACTTGTACGGAACTGGCACTGCACATTCTAAGAGTGACATACACTTCTATGTGAGTGACATACACTTCTATGTGCTAAAACCAAAAAAAGAAAAAACCTGCTAGCTTTAATTTTCTTTGGTGGAATGAATTATCAAAGAGGCCACACAAATCTGACTCCTGATGACACAGAACAGTGTGGGCTGGCAGGGATCTTAAAGATCATCCAGTTCCAGCCCTTGTCATGAGCGGTTCCACTCCTTCCACTATCATCACCTGTTCAGAAATTAAACAACCCTTAACAAGTTTCACCAAGTTAGTTTGCCAAAAAAAGTGCAAGATACTTAAATATTCCACCATTGGGTACACTACATTTGAGAGTCAGCCACATCTCTCCTACTCCTCAAACTTCTCACTGCTGTGATGAAGAAAAGTAACTTTAAAAAACAAACCAAAAATTACATCACTGTGTGGAAACTCCAGCTTCAACAAAAGTGCTGCTACATGCTCATGCAGGAATATATTTACATGCTGCAGTACCTGGATCTTGCTACATTAACACATCCTACTAAGACCACCACGCTTTCACAGGACCATGGAAACAAGCAGCAAGAGCATCACCAGTTTATCTCCTTCCCTTAACACTCAGGAGTGACCTGCGACACAGGGGGGGCCCTCCAAATCCTGAAGGGAACTTACAGGAAAGAACAGGCTAGACTATTTACAGAAGAATGTAGTGCCAGGGCAGGGGAGATGGCTTCAGACAGAGTAGATTTAGACTAATTAGAAACTAATTCTTTACTGTGACGGTGGTGATGCCCTGGCACAGGTTGCACAGAGCAGTTGTGGCTGCCCCATCCTTGGGAGCATCAAAGGTCAGGCTGGACGGGGCTGGGACCAACCTGGGAGAGTGGAACGCGTCCCTGTCCATGACAGGGGGTGTAACAGGATATGCTTTAAAGGTCCCTTGTAACACAAACCCATCTGTGATTCTCTGACAGGTGAGAGGCCACGGGAGCCTGCACTGACAGTCGCTGCCTTAGAGCACCTGAGGACACGGCACGTCTGACCCGCGCTCGCAGCGCAGCTCCAGCCGGGCCCCTCGCCCGCCCCGTCCTGCCGCCTCCCCGCGGGCCGGGCCGCTGGCCGGGTCCGCAGCTGAGCGGCACTGCCCGGGCACCGCCGGGCAGCGGCACCAGCGCGCCGAGGGGCGGCCGGCCCGGCACCCCCCAGGGCGGCAGCCACCGCTTCCCTCTGAGCCCCAACGCCGCTCACTCACTCACATCTTCAGCTGCACGTTGATGTCCAGATCGCAGCTGTACACATAATAAAGCCTCTCGGTCTCGCCCATGGCCGCCGCCGCTGCTCCCCGCCCGCCCCCTCAGCGCCCGCGGGCAGCAGCAGCGGCCTCTCCGGCCGCGCTCCGGGCATGCGCTGCCGCCGCCATCTTGAGTAAGGGAGGAAGGCGCGGTGCCGGCCCTTGACCAAAATGGCCGCCGGCCCGCGGCGCCCCCCTCCCCCGCGCCGCCCGGCGCTGACAGGGCGGCCGCGGCCGCGGCGGCGAGGTGGGGTTTGTGCCGCCTGGAGGGGGATGCAGCGCGGCAACAGCCTCACAGAATCACAGAGTATCCTGAAGGGATCCACGAGGATCATCGAGTCCAGTTCCTAGCCCTGCACAGGATGCCCCAACTACACGGTAGTCCCCTCAGTCTCCTCCAGGCCTAACAAACCAAGTGACGTTTGCTACTGTGCCTAAGGCTTCCAGACCTTTCACGATCCTCATGGCCTCCTTTGGACCCTTAGTTTGGCTTGGAAGTGAACTTAAAGCTCCCTATTTCCAACCTCCCACCATGGGCAGGGACACCTTCCTCTAGACCAGGGTTCTTCCCCCTAGACCAGGGCTCCCCCAGAGCTCAGAGCTTCATCCAACTAAGCCATTATTTATACATAGAAGTTCAGAGTTAATAACCTTTCCAGCAAAGCCCCCCATTATGATTAATTAAGTAGTTTTCATAAAAGTTAAATAATCTCAGCTCAAGTAAAGGGTCTTCCCCAGGGCAGGGGTCACACACAGACAGCCAGAAACTACCCACAACTTAAATATTGTAAAATAATATATGACTTAAAAAAAAGAATTAGTGTTTTGAGAATTAATACAGATTGCTAGCACCTTTAAGTGACAAAAATACAGATACTACGTGCATATAGTTATTATTACCCTACACTTACTCTCTCTGTGTAGGCAAAGCAGCCAGCACTGACAAACAGAAATCTTGTGTTTTATGATCCACCACAACCACTGAACTTCTCAGAACTGCAGGAACGAAAGTATAACAAGTGCTATTTTGCTCTAGCTCACTGTACTTTAAAACACTTCTGGTCCTGAGGAAGCACCCAGACAGGTGCTCTCCCACAGCACAGCTCAGACTGAAAAAAAAAGTGTAATTGTCACCTGGAAACAATGTTTTCTCTTCCATTTTCACAGGAGGACAGGGTTAACAGGTGGACATGGAAGGATGTCTTAGCTAGTCCTCTTCTTGTGCAAGTCAGCAGCTGGAAGGGCAGAGGCCAAAGTAGGAAAGCAACTCTTCTTTGAAGAGAAGGACTTTACCACCTTATCACTTTTTTCCCCCCTCAGGTGCTATCACCAGAAAGTATTCCCTTCCTTTTTTTCCAAAACCAATATGACACTAGAGAAGTCCCTAACCCGGAACCTGTATCACTAAAACGAAGTCTTTGCTTTCCAGCACCCCCTGGCATGTATCATGAGTGCAAAACATAATTTAAGTATAATTAAATTAACAAACTCCTCTGCACAATAAAGGTGACTTTTTTATCCGTCTTTACTATCTTAATTCTTCACTTTCTGGTTGCATTTACAGTTTTAGCAGTCCTGGCAGGTACCATTTGTTGCCTGCCTCATAATTTTTGATATCTTTGATATATGGTTCCACATATGGGTTTTTTTTGCATAAAATTTCTGCTTTCTGTAACAGGAATAAACAAATATATTTTTCTCCTTGGGTATGAAGAAAAAGTAAAACACAAACCTACAAAAGATTAAAAGACAAATAAATCTCACTGTTTTAAAGCTAAGCAATGTATGTCTGTGTGCAAACAATAAGCATATTCATATGTGTGTACCTGTTTTGCTATGATTTTTTTGTCAGGAAAAATTAGATTCTCAATGAATGAAATTAGTGGTATCAATTTAATAATCTCACACTCTATTGCACCACTATAGACACTTTCAGATAATTATTGAAGCTTTTTTTAAAGAAAAAAAAGAAAAGGAAAAAGCTAAGGGAAAAAATTACAGGACGCCTCTGAAAAAGGCATTAAAAAACTTTCTTTCAGATTCCAACATGCCTAACTAGATAACTAAATTAAGGGAGGTAAAAGAAGAGAAAAATGTTTAGGAGAGATGTTTTTGACATTGAGAAAGATGTTATTTCAATCAGAAATGTCACTTTATACCATTTTCTGATATTAATAACCTTACATTTCTAGGTTCTCATATACTGCCACAGAGGCAGATAGGAAGAGTATTTTTCACCTTGAAGGGTCCTGAAGCACTTGGAAGAGGCAGTGATGAACATTCAGGGCCACTCCTTGTGCTGTGACACAGTTCTGGCTGGAGGTGATGGGCATCTGAACTGCCACAAACCTACAGCCAGTGAAGCTGAATGGGGCCTTTTCTTGTGGAGCAGATGAAGAGCTGGATAAGGACATTTTCCTGTTTTACTCTCTGTTGTCACTTCTGTGTGTCCTTCACTTGACATTTCTGGCAACATCTGTACTAAATGGTAAAAGTATCCACCATGGGCTGTTGCCCCTAAGTCAAGTAGTTCATGTGACTCAGCTACCCTCTCTTCATCTGGGCCCTGCAGAGTGGTCTATCCATATCCCAACTGGTTGATCTGTTCTGTCTTGTAAGCTTCAGTGACCACTCCTCTGGCCAAAATATATTTATTTAAATTATTTATGTGTGTGTTTTCCAGCTCTAAGTGCCTGATGTAGTAGCAGACTGTGCTGGCTCAGGTTCCCCAGAGAAGTTTTGGTTGTCCTGTCCCTGGAAACATTCAAGGCCAGGTTGGATGGATCTTGAAGCAGCCTGGTGCTTCAACTAGGAAAGTATCCCTGCCTATGGCAGAGGAGGAGGAAGTGGGAACTAGAGGATCCTTACGATTCCCTCCGATTCAAACCATTCTGTGGTTCTATGATCATACAATATAAGGATTGTTTTACTGCCTATGGGAAGGTTTTGTAGTGTGACACCTCAGGCATGTCATGAGATGACTTTGTGGTGGCCTCTTGTTTCTGGTTTTGGCCTCTTGAAGTAGAGCAGGATTATTCCAAATGTTGCATTTCAAATGAGGCACATCTGTTCTTCTGTTGCTGATCTGTAGCAAACCCATAAGCAAACTCTCATGGCAACTCTGCTTGGGTTTTCTTCCTTAAGTAGACTAATAAATATATGCCACAAGGGAGCCCAGGAATGAACTAGTCTGCAACTACATATATGTTGATACCAGGAACACATTCTTGAAGCAACCCTGAGTGCCAAGATTTCTGATGCTCCAAGTGCATTGTGAAGCAAATTCTGACCTTCATTGTGCCAGCAAAAGAAGGAGCATCTGTCCCTTCTAGCTTGGGGTGAAGCTGAGCGTGACATGAGAGACTATTGGGAGTTACTGGTAGCCAGTCCCTCCTGCTTATGGTCCACGACCCCATTTCAGGAAGTTCTGTGTCCAAGCAATGCCACAGAAATCAGTCTCCTGCTCTACCACAGCCCTGCCTGACCCAGCCATGGACTTCCCTACGCCAGTTCTCACTTTTAGACTATTAATGTCCCATCCCCACAGAGCTGCCTGATGCTCCAGTCTGGACTTGCTCTGGCAGCACTGCAAATCTTCCCTTTCTGGTGCATGCAGTGGGAAAGCCCCTGGCTTTCTTTCCCGGGACAGCCCAGAAACATGTTCTTGTAGTTCTCTAACATTTACCTGAGTGTTTGGTCTTGAAACACCAGTTTATCTCAGAATATGTGAGTGTTTAAAATTTATTTTGGAAAAAAGTACACGAAGAGTAATCTACTGTATTTGCATGAAATCTGTAAGTAACTGGCTAGCTACACCTAGATTTAGTTATTTGCTAATATTATACCATTGGAAAAAATATAGCAAGCATGAGATTGACACTCTTCATTGCTCTGCTCATGCATTAGAATTTCCCCTACCCCTGTTCTGTTTCTCAGTCTGATAGTTTGTCAGCTCCCAGAAGTCTGATGAGGTGAAGCATTGAGAAAACAGTGGGAGCAATAGAGAGGTCTGCTACTGACACAATTCTCTTTGGAGGGAAGAGAGCTATTTTTCTTGTTTTGAAGCAGAAGTGTCACTTGCAGTTCAGCTAGTAGCCACAGAAAAATACATAACCTTTCAATCCCACCAAGAAATATATGCCATCTTCCAGAAGGCAACACTGATTCCTCATATGCTGTCTATTTTCTGCTGGTGGGACTACCATGATACAGAAGAGGACTGATCAGATATCCAGCCATGCCGCACATTGCTTTTAAAGACTTTTAGCAAAGTTGTTGTAAGTAGCTATGTTGTCAGACTTGTTTTATCTTTTCTGAATGTGGACATCTGTCCACTAAAATCTGGACCGAAACAACTAGGAACTATATATAACCCTTAGTGCATCTGTCAGACAATAATGACTTTCACTCACTAATGAACTGGAACAAAACTGCCTTGGCAACTGCCTTTTCCCCTCTAGTAATATCCTGAGAAAGACTTTACATGCTGGGTGTACAGCAGAGAGAATTTCTGCTCATCAAATACCACAGTGGTGATCAAGTTGTCAAAACCACAGTGGAAGGGTGGTTAGCACATTGTATTTCCTTTAAAAATGGATAAGAATTGATTTTAGAAAAGAGCATCCCTTACCTTCCCTTGATTTGCGGAATTTTACCTAATAAGTTTCACTTTCCACCTGATTTTATATTTTTCTGTTATTCCATGGCTAAGTAGTACCATCTAGCATATGCCCAGCCTATTCTCATTAAGAGACTCTATGAGTAAACAAACTCTCCTGTTTCTGCATCCTTATGTCCAAAATCATTCCTTGTGCTCAAATGAACCAAGGACTGGCCAGCATTTCTTATCTCTTCACCCACTCAGTTGCACCCTTTCCTATGACCAGCACCAGCTGTTCAGTCTGTCTCAGCAAGCTCCACTTTACAAGCTCCATTAAGACCACAAGACGGGTATGCTAACTCCTGGTAAAAAACAACCTTTAAAAAAAACCCACAACCATAGCATGTTGCAGATGATAGATAAATATGATTGTTCATAAATAATACATCGGGATGAGAACAGTCCTCCCAGCTAGCCAAGCAATGCCCCTGCCTTGGGATGGTTTTGGGGTGAAATGGACTGTTCCAT